CCACCACAGCCAGGGGAGGCCTGAAACTAGGTCTCCCCAACGTGAGGGTCCCAAGCGATGACTTAAAGATTTACTTACTTTTATTGGAGCGGCAGTCAGAGAGAAATCTTCCATCCACCGGCTCACTCTCCAAATGGCTGCAACAGCTGGAGCTGGACCAGGCCAAAGCTAGGAGCCAGGAGCTTCTTCTGGGTCTCCCACGCAGGTGCAGGGTCCCAAGGCTTTGGGCCGTCCTTGACTGCTTTCCCAGGCCACAGGCAGGGAGCTGGATGGGAAGTGGAGCATCCGGGACTCAGACTGTGTCCATATGGGATGCTGGCTCCCTGCCGCTTCACTGCTAGCCTGCACAGGAAGCCAGTGACGTCAGAGCAGCTCAGCTGCACAGCACTCCAGGCTTTGTGCCATTGCCTGGAGAACAGTGTGCGTCCTTGGGTGTGTTTTCACGCCTTAGAAGTTTCTAGACCGTGAACCGCAGGAATCTAAGCAGCACCTATGTTGAAAAAGTTTGTGCACCTGTCACCCAGAGTCCATATTGGAGGTAAACACTGCCCCGGGGTGGGGGTGAAGAAGGCATGAAACGTGGTGTCTGCAGGTCTGGCTTGTTTACCAGGCCTTTCTCAGGTCTGCAGCCCCTGGCATCCACACAGCCGCGTGTGCCGCAGAGGGAGACAGTGTGCTGTGTGCCAGCTTGCCTGCCCTCGGCCAAGACTGAAAGAACAGGATAGATAAAAGTCACCAAGTGCCAAAACGTGGGGGCGCAACTGGGGGCGCGGGTCCCCTGTGCTGGCCGAGGCCTGGGAAGACCACGGCACCCATGGTTCCCTGCAGGGGTGGTGGGAGTCACTCTGGGAGAGGGACAGGAGGAGGCCACCTGCCAGCAGGAGGCCAGCAGGGGCAGCGTGGCTGCACGGCTGGACACTGCCCAGCATGTGCTGGCCAGAGGCGCTCGCGAGGTCAGCTTGGGCTGTGGGGAGCTTGGCAGCTTTCCCGGGGCATGCAGCCACCCAGGGTGTGAGTCAGCAGATCCGCTGGGTCCTGGAGGAGCTCAGGCCCAGGGCTTCCAGGGACATTCCTGGGAGGGGGCGGGACCCCAGGTCCGACCCCTCACAGACTCTGCTCCCAAGCCCTCTCGCCCCAAGCACCCTCCAGGGCCACCATCTCAGAGGGACCTCCCTGCCTCCATTTCCCTAAAATGCATCCCTCTCTAGGCCTCAAGGCTCCCCCCTCTGCATCAGGACACTTCCCGATGCCCTTGACTTAAATACTGCCCTGCAGCCATCCTATATAGGTTGCAGTGGGGACCCCATTCCTGGGGCATTCCGGGTACTCAGTACACACGGGTGGGGTGAATGATCCGGTGAGTGGGCTTGCCCCAGCTCAGCCAACAGTCAGGTGCCCAAGGGCATCTCAAGCCCTCTGCACCCTCCAGGGCCCTTCCTTCCCAGGGGTGCTCCCGAAGGACAAACCCCAGGGGGCTCGGCTCGAGTCGCTGCCCCCTCCGCCTCGGTGGCCAGCAGGGACACCGACCAGCAGGCTCAGTCCCCAGAAGCTGGCACCCTCCCTGCCCCTTGGTGATCACCGCCCCCCCCCCCACTGTGCCAGCCCCGCTCCTTGATGACTGTGCTATTCTCTCTCTCTTGTAAGATTTTTTTTATTTTTAAAGGGAAGTTAGACCCACAGAGAGGAAGATCTTCCCTCCCTTGGTTCACTCCCCAACTGGCCGCAACGGCCAGAGCTGTGCCAATCCGAAGCCACAAGCTTCCTCCAGGTCTCCCATGTGGGTGCAGGGTCCCAAGGCTTTGGCCCTTGACTGCTTTCCCAGGCCACAAGCAGGGAGCTGGATGGGAAGTGGGGCTGCCAGGACTAAAACTGGCGCCCATTTGGGATCCTAGCGTGTGCGAGGCCAGGACCTTAACCACTAGGCTACCATGCCGGGCCCCTTCTGTCTCTTTAAAATGAATTAGAAGATCTCTTTCTCCCTCTCTATAACTCTTCCTTTCAAATACATAAATCTAATGCATTGATTTTACATTTTGACTTGACGAGTACAGTTCTCTTTCCCCATCGGTTCAGTAGGGAAGCTGGGCCAGGCCGAAGACAGACGCTGGTCCCCAGTGAGTGGCAGGGACCCAGGCCTTGGCGCCGTCACCCCGGAGTGTGTGTCAGGCGGAAGCAGAGCGAGGCAAAGCTGAGATGTGAAGCCAGCACACCGAGGCACGGGCGCGGGGTCACAGGCGGCGGTGCCGTTGCTGTGGCCACATCCCAGCCGCTCTTCTTGGCGTCTTGAGGTTGTCTTTTGGGTCCTGTTGCTATTGGAAGAAATAATCTCAAACCAAGTTTTTAAATTTTTTTCTTTATTATTATTATTATTATTTTAAGATTTACTTAGAGTCTGTGTGGTAGCCTAGTGGCTAAGGTTTGCCTTGCATGTGCCCGGATCCTATATGGTTACTGGCTCGTGTCCCGGCTGCCCCACTTCCCATCCAGCTCCCTGCTTGTGGCCTGGGAAAGCAGTCAAGGACGGCCCAAAGCCTTGGGACCCTGCACCAGTGTGGGAGACCCAGAAGAAGCTCCTGACTCCTGGGTTCGGATCAGCCCAGCTCTGGCTGTTGTGGTCAATTGGGGAGTGAATCATCAGACAGAAGATCTTTCTCTCTGTCTCTCCTCCTCTCTGTAAATCTGCCTTTCTAATAAAAATAAATACATCTTAAAAAAAAAAAAAAAGCAAAGTTAGAGATCTTCTATCCACCAAATGGTCACAACAGGCAGGACGGAGCTGGGCTGGAGCCAGGAGCCTGGAACTCCAGCAGGGTCTCCCCTGGGTGAGGGCCCAAGTGCTTGGGCCTCTCTGCTGCTCTCCCAGGCACATCAGCAGGGAGCTGGCACTCTGACCCATGTTGCTATGGGATGCTGGCATCATAAGCAGCTCCACCTGCTGTGCCCAGTGCAGAACCCGAGCTGGCTTCCTTCCAGTGCTGGTATGGTCTTGTCCTGCTGATCAAGTCCAATGGGCTTCACTGGACTGAAACCGAGGTGGCTCCCAGGCCAATTCTGCCTAGAGGGTCCGGGAAAAATCTGTTCCTTGCATCTGCCCTTTTGCAGGGCCGCCACCCACTCTACATGGGGCCATCTCTGTCCTCCATGGCCCCTACCTCCCTCCTCTTTCTGCCCCTAACCTTCCATGCTTTTCCTCTGCGCACCCTGATGAAGACACTCAGGCCTCCCCGTCCCCTAGAAACCCCAGCCAACCACAGCCGTGGAAACAGAATTCCCGGGGCCCTGGGGACCTTCCCGTGCGGTTGCGGCTCATCCCTTCTCACTGCTGCAGGTGGCGCTTGACACAGTAGACCACGACCTGTGCCCTCCCTGCCCTAAGACATCTATGTCCCTCAGTGTCCTGGGACCTCCATCCCGACTCCTGGGAGTGGCTCCCCGGGGAAGGCAGAGGGCCGACATTTGGGAGGTGGCCCGCGTGAGTTCAGGCACCTGCGGAGGCCAGAGGGTGGGAGAGGGCCAACCATAGGGCGATACACGAAGGAGAGAGAGGCTGGGAGCATGCCCGGTTTCTAGAACCATCCCTCTCTGAGAGCTGCCTACCCCAACCCGGGTGCCATGACCACACGCCTTCAGCACCAGGGCATGTTGGACCCACTTGAAGCGGCGTAGCTGAAAACCCTGCCTGTTCAGGCAGCTCATGGCAGAACGCGCCAGGGGCTTGGCTGTGAACACACGATGTTGACACAAACACAAATTTCCCTTCAACACAGGAGAGAAGGCAACTTGACTCTACGAGTTTAACTTGTAGAAGCTGCCTTCGTGGCGGGGGGAGGGGAGCAGCTCAGTGAAGACCCCCGCATCCCCAGCTGGACCCCTGCCACCCGCATGGGAAACACGGACCAAGTCCCCAGGGTCCGGCTCCGGCCCCTGGCCTTGGCGGAGCCATTTTCTCCTTTTGAACCAGCAGATAGGGAATCTTTCTCTCTGTTTCTCCTCTCTGTGTTTCTGCCTTTGAAATAAAATTAAATAAATCTTTCTTAAAAGCACCTTTTTGGAAAAAAAAAACTTTTTTGAAAGTTCATGGAAAATAGAACTAAAACTTATTTTGGTACCAAAAACTTTGAAATGTGTGCAGATCTTCTCCTACTAGAATTCTTTAGCTGGAAGGCAGAGAGGCAGAGCTGAGGACGCACAGCCCGAGAGAGATCTTCCATCTACTGGTTCACTTCCCTAAAGACCTACTGAGGTTTGGGAGCCAGATCTGGGTTTGGGGGTGTCCTGCCACGTGGCGGCCAGAGACTTGGGTGGCTGAACCACCTAGCGGGAACTGGGGCACCCCGCTACGGGGTGTGGGTGTCCCAGGTAGCGGCTTGAACACCTGCACCATTATAACTGCCGCTCGGTTCCCTCTTTGAAGAGGCACTAATTACTGATCTAGCAACCTGCCCCCGGGAGTTAAATACCCACGCGTTGGCGGGGTGGGTGTGGCGGCAGACACCGGGTCGGTGCGTGAAACCACCCCAGGTCACCTCATATCTTTCTGATAGCTTCTCCAAACAGCCCCGGCCCCTACCTGGAAGGGGCAGACCCTGCAGAAACCCCCACTTGGGAGACCTAGGTGCAGGTGTTGAGCCTGCTCCCGGCCCCGCGGCTCACGTCCTAGCCAAGCCACGCAACAGTGGCCGGCGGCGTGGCCTCCCTGGACGTCCATCTCCTCCTCCGTGGTGCCAGAGGCCCCTGAGAGGGCATGAATGAGCCATGGCATGTGCGGGCCTGGCAGGGAGCATGCCCCGCAGCCGCCGCCCGGCTCTGGTAAACATGCCTGCCAGGCGCCTTCTGCCACAGGCCACCCAGGGCAACGGGTGTCCGTGTACTTTGGCACAGGTAGGAAGCTGGATGGGAAGTGGAGCGGCCGGGAGAGCCGGATTGTGCTGCAGGGAGCAAGGAGGAGAGCGCCAGGCCAGCTGCCCCGCGGCCTCACTGAGTGTCCTTCACCTCCACAGCCAGAAGCTGCCAGGCGAATACTTCAAGTACAAGGGCATCCCCTTCCCCGTGGGCCTGTACTCACCTGACAGCATCAGCCTGGTGGAGAACAGCACCGACGTGCGTGACGACGACATCTTCATCATCACCTACCCCAAATCAGGTACCGCTGGCTGAGGTGGGCTGCAGAGTGGGCGGGGCTTGGAGAGAAGGGCGGGGCCTGGAGAGTGAGGGGCAGGGCTTGGAGAGAAAGGGCGGCGTTTGGAGTGAGGGGCGGGGCATAGGATTATAAGAGGTGGAACTCAGGGAGGGGAGGGGTGGGGCTTGGGAAAGGGGGCGGGGAAGAGGGTGAGAAGAGGTGGAGCTCGGAGGTAGGCGGGGCTTGGAGAGGAGGGGCGGGGCTCAGGGAGTGGGCGTGGCTGAGGAGAGTGAGGGAGAAAGTGGGGTGCGGCTGGAAATGAGAGGGGCACTTGCTGAGGCGAAAGCAGACACCCTGGGCCTGGTCTGCTCAGGCCCCGGGGGAGCCTGGCCTCTGCCCTGGCTGTTCCCCCAGGTGGGAGGTGGGACAGGCTGGCCCTAGAAGCCCAGACTAGTACCTGGGACAGAGTGAATGTTCCAGGAGATGTGCGGAATGGAGGGAGGGGGCGAGGAGGGCGCGTCGCTATCTCCGTTCAGTACCTTGTCTTTTTTATTTTTCTGAACTGTGCGTGTTAGAGAGGAGAGTCCTGCTGTGCTGACTTGCTGCCAGCGGCTCTCTGCTGCCTCCAAGGTGGGCACTAGCAGGAATGGAGCCAGATTGTAACTCAGGCTGGACGTGGGAGACGTCTGAGCATCCCAAGAGGCCTCTTGTTGTTTAAGTATTTTTTATTTGAATGTGCAAAGCAGCAGAGGTGGACAGATGTCTTCTGTCTGCTGGGTAAGTCTGTAAGTTCCTGCAGCCCCAGCCAAAGCCAGGAGCCTGGAGCTCCATCCTGGTCCCCCGTGTGGGCAGCAGTGACTCAGGCACTTGGGCCACCCTCCCATGGGCACCTGCAGGGAGCTGGACAGCTAAGCCAAATGCTGGCCCCAAGGGCTTCCGGGAAACACCCAGGAGACCAGCACACTGCAATTTTATGGGACTTTTAATTTGCATTTTGCTCATGGAGTTTCTTCCACCGTCAGCCATCACCGTCTTTGACATAATATCTGTTCAAACATTGCATTTCTTTTTAATTGGCTTTTTCATTTTCTTATTGCTGAATTTGAGAGTTCTTTATAACCTGATTTATTTGAGAGGGTGCTCCCACCTGCTTTCACCCCAAATGCTTACAACAGCCAGAGAACATTTGAAGCTGGGAGCCCAGAATTCAGCCCAGGTCACCCCGTGGGAGGCAGGAATGCAGCCACGGTTCCCAGGAAGCCGAGGGCAGGAGCCGGGGGTGGGCGTGGAGCCCAGGAGCTCCGGTGTGACCTGAGCATCCTAACGAAGCCAAAACCCTGCTCCCAAGCGTATTGTTAAAAAAGAATTATTTATCTTTATTGAAAGATATATTTTTGCAGAGAGGAGAAATAGAAGGATCTTCCATCTGCTGGTTCACTCCCCAAGTGGCCGTCACAGCCAGAGCTGAGCCGATCCGAAGCCAGGAGCTAGGAGCCTCTTCTGGGTCTCCCATGCGGGTGCAGGGTCCCAAGACTTTGGGCCATCCTCTACTGCTTTCCCAGGCCACAAGCAGGGAAGTGGCGCTGCCAGGATTAGAGCCAGCGATCCCTTTGGGATCCCAGCGTGTGTAAGGCGAGGACTTCAGCCACTAGGCTACCGTGCCGGGCCATGTTTTTCATTCTGTATGGGTTTTGTTTTGTTTTGTCAGTCTTCTTTTTTTCCCCCTCTCGGTTAGGTTTTATAATTTTAGATTTTTAAAATAGATTTGTTTATTTATTTGAAAGTTAGATAGAGAGAGAGCTGTTCAATCCACTGGTCCACTGCCCAAAAAGCTGCAACAGCCGGAACTGGGCCAGGCCAAGGCCAGCAGCTTCTCCCTGGTCTCCCATGTGAAAACAGGGTCCCCAGGCCTCGGCCATCTTCTGATGGTTCCCAGGCCACAAGCAGGGAGCTGGATGGGAAGCGGGTTGTGCTCACATGGGATGCTGGGGTCACAAGCCAGCCCTTAAGATTCCCACTTCAATGAGGTTCTCAGAAGAATCACACTCCCAGGGCGAGGAGATCGGGCTGTGTTTGGGGGTGCAGGGGGTGCTGGTGTCGGGAACGTGGAGGGACTGCTAGGGAAACGACAGTACTTTGGGGATGGTGGCCCCACAATGCGAGCATGTGCAAGGCCAGGAAACTGTACACAGTAACTAATGTGGTAAGTCATGTTCATTTTAACACAGAACGCTTAGCTAGCTTAAAGCCTGCTGGGAATCACGGCTTCCCGAGACCACAGCCTGGTTAACCACCAGCGCCCCAGGTCCCCTGTAATTCCCTGGAGTGGGGTGAGGGTCACCTGGTGGCCCCTGCTGAGCACGCATCACTGGTCCACGACAGCCAGCCAGGCCTCCTTCCGCGTCCTCCGGCGCCCTCTGCTGCCAGTTTAGCCATGAGCCAGCTGACCCGGTCGGCTGGATCGGGCGCCTGGACAGCGGGCAGTGCGATTGTGGAAGCCTTGGGTCAGCACCTGGTGCGGGTGCCGCCTAGAATCCAGACTTGTGGAACGCGATCTCGGCAGCATTTCCTGCCGGACCTGCCTTGCTCGCCTGGAAACAGGGTGATGGACAGGGCCGCTCCTCCCTTCCAAGCGATGCAATGAAGCAGCCAAGCTCAGAAGGGTGCAGGAGGGGCAGAGGGATGCAGACGGGGCGGCAGAACCCACGCAGCTCGGGCCACCCTGCTTCCTCCAGCTCTGCCAGTGCCTGGGAACTCTCCCTCCCCACAGCCTGTGGATGTGTCCTCCTGTGGTTCCGCTGGCCACGGCAGCCAGGGCAGGACCAGTCTGGAGCTCCACCTGGGTCTCCCACGTGGGTGCAGGAGCCCAAGCACTGGGCCATCCTCTGCTTTCCCAGTGCAGCAGCAGAGCGCTGGACCGGAAGTGGAGCCCCACACAGGGGGTGGTTTAACTGACTCTGCGATGAGGTTGCTCAGCCCTGCCTCCCACACAAGCAGGCAGGACTCTGCCAGGGTAGACAAGGCAGACCACACAGTGGAGGGGTCGCCCTCCCCACCCCGCCGCACCCAAGCTAGCCTTCCCGTCTCTCCCGCAGGCACCAGCTGGATGATTGAGATTGTCAGCCTGATCCTGAAAGATGGGGACCCCTCCTGGATCCGCTCAGTGCCCATCTGGGAGCGGGCGCCCTGGTGTGAGACGGTCTTGGGTGCCTTCAGCTTGGAGGACCGGCCCAGCCCTCGCATCATGAGCTCCCACCTCCCCCGGCAGTTCTTCAACAAGGCCTTATTCAACTCCAAGGCGAAGGTGCGTGGTGGGCTGACGGCTGCCCCGGGGCCATGCACCTGCTGGGCAAGGGATGGGGCTAGCTGGGAGAAAACACACAATGCCGCCCTGGGAGCAAACACAGAAGCTGGAATAAATGGGGTGGGGGCGTATTCAGTCGAGGAGATGGCTGGGGCCAGAGCGAGGGCTAAGGAGCAGAATGAGGGCTGGGGGCGACAGGGGCCAATGCCCCCCCCCATTAAAGTCACTGAAGTTCCCTTGAGAAGGTGCTGTTTGTGTGATGGCCTGAAGGACAGGTGACAGGAGCAGAGTGCTGCAGGAAGTCTTTTGGAGGTCAGGGGAGAGTAGGTGAGAAGGACCTGGGTGGGTGTGGGGTCTGAGAAGCAGTCAGGGGCTGGTGTAGCTGGAGCCGAGGGGCTGAGGAGGAGGAGGAGGGGGGACGGCTCGTGGACTCCCTCTGGAGGGCAGGTCAGGAACAGCGTCCAGGTGCGACAGAGGAGGGGTGGCTGTGGAGTACCCCGAAATCAGGACCTGGGATGCCAGGGCCATCCCGGGAGAGCCCCTGGGAGCAGCAGGGTCCCAGGTGGATGCTAGAAGGTTGAGAAGGGGCCGGCTTCTGAGTCGGTCAGTGCCTCTTGCCCTGACCACCCCCATCCTGAGCCCCATGCCTTCACCTTCTGGGTTGTCTAAGCCAAATCCGATGTCCACCTTCCCCAAGAAGTCCTCCCCGCCCTCCCTCCTCCAGGAGGGGCAGAGCTGCGCCAACCAGGACTGGGAAGGAAGTCGGCTGTGGGGTCAGACAAGAGAGCAGACAAGCTTGGGGCCCAGGGTCCTGCCGTGCCCAGTGCCTCCTCCCCTCCCTACTCTGTCCCCACACAGGTGATCTACCTGGGTCGGGACCCGCGGGACGTGGTCGTCTCCCTCTATCACTACTCCAAGATCGCCGGGCAGCTGAAGGACCCTGGCAAGCCTGACCAGTTCCTGCAGGACTTCCTCAAAGGCGAGGGTGAGGTCAAGGTCAAGGAAGGGATGAGGAGAGAGGGGGACGCTGGAGCAGAGTCCGGACAGCCGGTGGATGGGAACCGGTGGTTGGGAACCGGTGGTTGGGAACCGGAGGAGAAGCGGAGAGGGAGGGGCTTGGGGCGGGTGTCTGGCTGGGAGGGGCAGCTCTGGGATCCTGGTCGGGGGAGGGCAAGCCCGAGCCCCCTGAGCCCGAGCCCGAGCCCTGCCTGCCCTCCACCTGCAGTGCAGTTCGGCTCCTGGTTTGACCACATCAAGGGCTGGATTCGGATGCAGGGACAGGAAAATTTCCTCTTCCTGACCTACGAGGAGCTTCAGCAGGTACGTACCCACCCTTTCCTCATGTCCCACCCACCACCGTCCTGCCTGTGTCAGGGGCTGGCGATATAGCCCTGAAACCCCGGATGCCCTGAGGCCAGGCGCCGGACAAACACCACTGACCAATATGGGATCTAGCGCGTCAGTGGACGCAGAGCACAAAGAGACGCTGATGGGATGTGCTTGGTAAAACATTTGAAAAGTAGAGCAGTAGAAGCAGAGAGATCTCCCAGTTGCTGGTTCACTCCCCGGATGCCCACAGCTGCTGGGGCCAGGCTGAGAGCAGGGGCTCCATCTGTGTCTCCCCCGTGGGAGCCGGGGCCCAAGCACTTGGGCTGTCTCCTGCTGTGCTCCCAGGGGCATTAGCAGGGAGCTAGATCAGAAGTGGACCAGCCGAGACTCGAACCATATACTTCAGGATGGGATGCGGGCCACCCAAGCAAGACCTTGCCTGGTCATATCACTGTTTACCCCAACCTGATTGGAAATGGGGTGACCTGGGCTGGGCTGGGTGCTGGTTCTCCATCTCTGCCTGTCACATATAGAAATCTTTAAAAGAAAAATGGGGTGGTTGGGGGACCTCTGAGGGTCTTGCAGTGTAGACAGCCAGTGCAAAGGCCACGTGAGGAGAGGGGAGCGGGTGGGAGGGTCTGTGCCACGGCGTGCCCGCCCTGTGCGTGTATCATGCCGTGGGACACGCAGTTGGGACACACCAACTGTCCTTCCAGTCCAGCCTTTTTGTGGCACAGACTCTGGGTTCAAGGGGCCCAACAGAGTGGTCTCCAGTCTCCAACGAGCCTCCCCAAGGCAAGGCGCTGGTGGACAGGGGCCCCATGGGGTCCACCCAGCATGGGTACAGACCCCCTCTGGCATTACTGCCTTCCAAACCTTGGTATGTTTCCATGGATGGAAAGATCTGGAAAGAACTCTCACCAATCCAGCCTTCACTCCCCATCCTCCCACCCCCACCCTTTGCCATCAAGCTTTGTTCTCCAAATTCAGAACTGGGACACAGACTGACAGCCGCTGGGCTGGGCTGGGCCAAGCTGAGCTGAGCCGAGGCGCTACCCACACCAGCGGTTGGAGGGACACAGGGTTGGGGGCCGGGTGCCTGCAGGGGTGTGGGAGGGAGAGGCCAGGGCCAAGGTCAGAGGAGCTGGGTGGGGAATGCCAGGCAGTGGGGGACATGAAGCAGCCTTGTCCTGGGCCGGGGGTGAGGGAGGTGAGTACACGGCATAACCCAGCCCACGCCTGCGTCTAACTGCAGGAAGGGGAGTGGGTGGGAGGCACAGACCCCCAAACCCCCAAAGCTCGCACTAGCTACAGCTTGGTGGTAGCTGACCCCTCCCCCTGCCCCGTAGGACCTGGAGGGCTGCGTGAGGCATGTGAGCGAGTTCCTGGGCCGACCGCTGGGCGAAGAGGCACTGGGCTCTGTGGTGGCACACTCAGCCTTTGGTGCCATGAAGACCAACACCATGTCCAACTACACACTGCTACCCCCCAGCCTGCTGGACCACAGCCAGGGGGCCTTCCTCAGGAAAGGTGCGGGGCTGGGGTGGGCGGGCATCATGCAGGCGAGGGCAGGTCCCACCCTGGCACCACATGGCTCATACCTGCTCCCTCTCGGTGTGGGGTTCCCTGAGCTGACACCTGAGGTTGCCGGGGGCTGTGCGCATGGCCGAGACAATTCCCCGTGCTCCTGCAGCCCTTCTGCACGGCCAGCGTCCAGTCTGACCCATAACATCCCTTATGGGGATGCAGGGCCCCTCGGGTGTCCCAGGGCCACCTCCCTTCTGTCGGGACCCTGACTTTGTCATTGGTCACTTTGTTGATCGAGTCTCAGGGTTAGCACTGGGACACCTCGGGGGAGGGGTCTGGGGTCCTGGCCGAGGGACCTGTCCTGAGACTGCGGTGTGCTGCTTGGAGGGGGTGGGCGGTCAGGCAGTGCAGAGCGTCCAGCAGTGACGTCAGGAATGACTGTGAACCAGGGGTCGGGAAAGAGCGGACACTCTGGGGGCAAGAGGGGGCTGGGCAGGGTTGTAGCGGGCCTGGGGCCAGGCCTGCTGAGAGGGGGCTGTGAGTTTGGCCTCTGCGGGCTCCCGTGGGTGGATAGAGATGAGGGTGGACGGGCTGGGAGGTACGGTGCAGCCTCTCACCCACCTCTCGTCCTCCAGGGGTCTGTGGGGACTGGAAGAACCACTTCACCGTGGCGCAGAGCGAGGCCTTCGACCGCGTCTACCGCAAGCAGATGCAGGGGCTGCCCACCTTTCCCTGGGACAAGTGCCCGGAGGCCGCCAGCCCGGACCCCGAGCCCAGCCCCAGTCCTAGCCAGGTCTCCAAGCACCCCGACCCGTGACCTTCACAATAAACCATATCATTCCCACCTGGCTCCTCCAGACACTATGGAATGACGCGGGAGGGTCCACAGGTAGGTGGGGCATCGAAGTTGCTGTGGGGACCCTGCACCCAGCAGCTGGGGGCCTCAGAAGGATGGGGTCCCCCGTATCTGGGGCTCAGCTTATGGGGTCCATGTCTCAGAAGCCCTGGCAGAGCAAAGGTACTACAGGGAGCCACAGGGGGGGCAGGAGTCCTGGTTTGGGGTTCAGGTTTGGGCACAGGAACCCCTTTTATTCTGAGCAGAAGCAAATGGAGAGCCCTGACCCCTCCCCTCGCTGCCAGCTCCTCCCTCCCACTTCCCAACTGCTCGCCCTCAGCTCCTGGGCATGTGGGAGTGGGCAGCCATCCTGCAGGACCCCATTCCCACTCCACACAGTTCGGGGGAGGGGGGACCGCAGCCTCTCTCGAGGAGTCCAGTGCTACTGCCTCAGCGCAGGGCTCCATTCTGCAGCCCATGATGGGCAGGTCCGGAGCAAAACGACCCTGAGCCGGCCCGAGTTCCAAGATGAGCTGACAAAACCTTTGCGGTTTCTAGAGGGGGCCCTGGAGTCAGAGACCTGGCTCAGGGTGTGGCATGAGACAGCCAGATCTGGTTTAGGGGGGTCCCCATCAAGGACGCCCCCCGAGTCCTGTCCGAATCGCCCAATCCGGATGCCGAACACCTCTGGGTTCCCAAAGCGTGGCTCCAGCCTCTTCCCTAATCTTCCTCTGTGGCATGGGCAGGTTGCGGAAGTGGCGGCCGGGGAACAGGGTGAAGGGTCCACCCCAGGGCTGAGGCCAGGCCAGCGGGCGGGAGTCGGCCTCCGCCCAGGGGCCCCCACCGGTGCCCCGCTGTCGCATCAGGGCCTTGGCTGGGGTGTCCTTGGAGCCCCACAACTTCTTAGTCTGTGGAGGGAAGTGGGCAGAGGTGAGCAAGGAGGCTGGGGGCGGAGGCGGGGCTGCAGGCAGAGCCAGGAAGGAGCTCCCTGGGACCCAGACCCACAAAAAGAGGGGCCTAACAACTCCACAGCTGGGACTGGAAGCCAGTAGCAGCTGCCACAGGGAGCAAATATTTGTACAAGGAGGTGATGATGAGTGAGGGCGTGCAGAGCTAAGACCCCGCCCTACCCAGCTCTGATGTAACCTGGGAGATGGGTCTCTCCTTTACCCCGGGGGGTGGGGTGGGGGGCTCACTGAGCAGCTAAAGGAATGGGAGACCCTGAGCGCCCCCTGCCCAGTCCCACCTTCCAACACTCCTGAGGCAGTCCAGGCTCGGGAACCAGGGGCAGAGCCCTGGGAGGCAGCCAGGGTCACATGCCAGGTCTCTCACTTGCCCATCTGTAAAGTGGGTGAGTGGGGGACGTGGCTGTGAGGCACTCCTTGTGGTCTAGCTTACATTCAGCCTCTTCTGGTTGAGTTAGCCAACCTCTCGGAGTCTCAGCACTCCAGTCTCGAACTGCGGGTGGGGTGGGGCTGGGCTGGGGATGTCCCCCGTGGGGGGTTACTGCTGCTGGTCTTCACACTCCTGGCTCGTGCCAACGCCCAGCCCATTTCCTGAGGGCAGCACTGAAGTTTGGAGAAGCAGGTCCCCAACTACTGGCTCCCACAACTGGGGTATAGGGCCGGGACTGGCCCCAGGGCTCTGTTAAACCACTCAGTGCTTGCCCTCCAACCCTACAGACAGCAGGAGGGACTTGAAGTCCATGATTCCACTCCTGCCCACCTCCCCAGGCTTCTAGCAGCCCATGAAAATGCTCCCTGCTTTGGGAGTTCCAAGTAGGGTCCTGCACAGCCTTGAGGAAGCACCTGTGCCTTCCGGACCTCCCACTCTGCCCTCCAGTCCTCAAATTCTCACCTCGTTGGTCTCGCCATCGCTGGACCCAGAGAGCTGCGACAGGCGGCTCAAGTCCCAGAGCGAACGGCTGGGCCGGGTCGGGGGGCCGCTGGAAGCCCGGGCCCGCATGCTCCTTAGGATGTCACTGAGCGCCGTCCCCGGGGGTGCGGGGGCCTCCTTCCTGTCCCCCTGGGAGACGCGGCAGGCGGCCAGGCGCTGGGCCAGCGGGCGGTCCTGTGCGGGCTGTGGCGGCGTGGCAGGGGCCATGGCGCAGCGCTGGGCCAGCGGGCCGTCCTGTGCGGGGGCCATGGCGCAGGCGCTGGACCAGCGGGCCGTCCTGTGCGGGGGCCATGGCGCAGCGCTGGACCAGCGGGCCGTCCTGTGCGGGGGCCATGGCCAGGCGCTGTGCCAGCGGGCTGTCCTGTGCAGGGGCCATGGCCAGGTGCTGGGCCAGCGGGCCGTCCTGTGCGGGGGCCATGGCGCAGCGCTGGACCACATGGTGCGGACTGCGGGCCGGCTGCAGCCCCCCAGGGACGCCGGCCACAGTGGAGAGGCGCGGGGCCGGCGCCGGCGGGAGAGGCCGAGAGGCCGCGTACAGCGTCCGGAACTCGCGGCTGAAGGTGTCTGTGATCTCCCCCGTCAGCAGCGTCACCAGACCCCGGTGCAGGCGGGCGTCGCTCCAGGTGAAGCTGGGGAGATGGAAACATCTGGGATGGAGGTGCGGGGTCTTTACACAGCCCAGGGGAGGTCCAGCCTGCACCCCAGTGAGACTGGGTGACTTTTGGCCTCAGTCTTCCCATCTGTAGAATGGGCGCAGTGGACATCCAGCCCCAGGGGTTGGTGCGAGGAAGTCCTAAATACTAGGAACGCCCCTGTTAGGAGTCAGGTTAGCTCAGACGCCTAGACCCTTAGCCCCCAAAGGGACTTAGTTGCTTCCTAAAATAACTGCATTTATTCAGCACCTGCTGTGTGTCAGGCTCCAGCTGTTCCTATCCCTGGCCTCCACGTGCCTGTCTGTATTGTGGACAGGGTAAGGCAGAAAGAGGCAGGTCCATGTCTTCCTCGTCCCCCACCCCCAGGTTTGCCAGCTGGAACATGGGGTCAGGGCCAGCACTGTGGCATGGCCAGTCAAGCCTCCATGGGATGTTAGCATCCTGCGTGGGTGCAGGGTCAAGTCCTGCTGCTCCATGTCCACCCAGCTCCCTGTTAATGTGCCTGGAAGAGTAGTGGAGGATGGCCCAAATGTTTGGGCCGCTGCCCCCACGTGGTGCGGCCTAGCCCTCCTGGCCATGTCTGTTGTGGCCATTTGTGGAGTGAACCAGCAGACAAAAGAGTTTCTTTTCTCTGCCTTTTGAATATATTAAAATAAAGCGTTCCACTTTCAGCGTGCTGGCACCAGTCCCAGCCACGGCGCCTTCCTGCTAATGAGGACGGCCCAGGTGCTTTGGATCTCTGCCACCATGCTCATAGGAGACCTGGATGGAGTTCCTGGCTCCTGGCTTGGACCTGGCCCAGCCCTAGTGGCTGTGGACATCTGGGGAGTGAAACAGCAGACAGAAGTTCTGTCATCACAAATAAATAAAATGTACTCAAGATTTATTTTCATTGGAAAGGCAGATTTACAGAGAGAAGAAGTGATAGAAAGAGAAAGAACTTCCATCCACCGGTTCACTCCCCAAGCGACTGCAATGGCCGGAGCTGAACCAATCTGAGCCAATCATAAACAGGAAGCTGGGGAGAAGTAAAATGAAGAGTGGATTCCGCCTCTCCAGGGGGAAGTGGAGCAGCCAGGACACAAACCAGCCCCCTTATGGGATCCCAGAACTTGCAAGGGGAGGGGTTGATCAATTGAGCCATCATGCAGGCCTAATAAATTAATTTAAAATAAACCGGGCCTAGCAGCGTGGCCTAGCGGCTAAAGTCCTCGCCATGAACATGCCGGGATCCCATATGAGTGCCGGTTCTGGTCCCAGAGGCTCCACTTCCCATCCAGCTCCCTGCCTGTGGCCTGGGAAAGCAGTCGAGGACGGCCCAAAGCTTTGGGACCCTGCACCCGCGTGGGAGACCCGGAAGAAGCTCCTGGCTCCTGGCTTTGGATTGGCTCAGCTCCACAGAGATCTTCCTCTCTGTCTTTCCTCCTCTCTGTATATCTGACTTTCCAATGAAAATAAATAAGTATTAAAAAAAAAAAAGAAACTAAACAAACAAACAAAAAAAAAAAAAAACCCAGGAAAAACAAAGCAACCTTCCCTGTTGAGCAGGAAGGGCGGGCAGGGAGGGGAGCCCCTGATTGTGAGGCCCCACTCCACCTGTGACCTCACCCACAGCCAGTGGGGACCCTGGGAGCTCTGTGAGGTCACCGCATTCCGCCACACATGGACGCCTGACAGGCAGCCGCCGCCGGCCTGTCTCTGCCCCGAGGAAGAGGAGGAGGACTGGACAGGGCCTGAGCTGGGGGACTGGGGCGCTGAGGCGAGTGCAACGGCCACCCGGCACGCACGTGCAGCCCCCCCATTCAGCCACTCGCGGAGAGCCAGGAAACCACGGCCTGGCTCGGACACTGTCCTCGCCGCTAGGCCACCATGGTCCTCGGCCGGCTGCTGCTACTGCTGCCGCTACTCCTGGCCATAGCCCTGCCCTGGGCCACGACGGGCGCCAAGGACTGCGTCTTCTGTGAGCTGACGGACTCCCTGAGCTGCCCCGGCACCCACATGAGCTGCGGCGAGGATGAGGACTGCTTCATCGGCCACGGCGTGGCGCAGGGCGTCGGGCCCATCCTCAACAAGGGCTGCGTGCACTCCACCAGCTGCGGCCGCGAGGAACCCGTCAGCTACATGGGAGTCACTTACACCCTCACCAGCACCTGCTGCTACGGCCACATGTGCAACAGGGGCCCCCCGGGCCCTGCCACCACGGGCCTGCTGCTGGCCTTGCCGCTGCTGCAACGTTTCCTGTGACCAAGGTGGAGGCCAGGGCCTGGGGCTGGGCTCCCGGCTGTGCCCCCTTGCCTCCACCCTCCTCCTCCTCCCCCTATTAAATGGCCAAAGAGGCCCTGGACAATCCCTTGTGGCCTTGGTGCTGGCCTGACTTGGCAGGGTAGCAGTGAGAGGACGGGGCCCCGGCGGGGGGGGGGGGTGGCTGCTGTATTTCATTGCTTCTAAGATGTGCGCCTTTGCATGTGCGTGTCGGGAGCTTAGAGTCAATGAAATACGATGAGAACACAAAGTCGTGGCAATAAAACAGCACTGACGTTCGTGCAGAACTGCTTCTCATCGTATGCCAGCCCAGAGGCGGGAGCCCTTCAGGAGCCAGGAGGCTGGCATTCCAGCCCTCCGGGTGACAATGGCAAACTTCTCGTTTGAGAAGCTAGAGAGAAGATGCTGCCGGCTCACTCCCCCTGCACCTCAAGGGGCCGCTTTGCTGGGGCAAAGGGGGACAATGGACACACCTGTAGGACCCAGAGATGACCCGGTCTCCGTCCAGCAGCACAAACTTCTCCCGCACGTGGCCGCACACCTGCCGTCGCTGGCGGCTCTGGAAACTGCAGCCCCGGACCACACGCACGTCCAGATTCTGACAGGGGAGGGAAGGAGGACACAGCCTGGCCCAGGACCTTTGGGCTTGGTTCTGCCAGCATCACCCACGGCTCTGGAGTAGGGTCCATCAGCCTCCCTCAGCGAGGAGCCACAAGAGCCCCAGGGCTTGCATCCTCCCACACCAGTGCCACAAGCATCAGACCAAGCGGGTGCCCACGGGGGCGGCCTGGGAACCCCAGGGACGGGCCTGTTCCCATTTCCCCTGCTTCTCTCCAGTACGTGCGCAGTGGGCACTCCTGGACCCCTACCTCCGTGGCCCAGGGATTCAGCCCCAGCTTCTGGGCCAGTTCCAGGAAGGCTGGGAGCCGCAGGTGGTCCAGGAGCAGGTAGACGGGCACCCAGCGGCGCGTGGCGGCATCCACCAGGTCCAGGAGCAGGTCTGGGTCAGTGAAGACGTCCATCACCACGGCCACAAGCTGCCGGGGAGGGGAAGATGGGGTGTGGAGGTGCGGAAGGTGCAGGGACGTCCGCTGGCAGGGACTGATGCTGGACACAGGCAGGGTGGTCCAGGAGGAGGACTGGGCAGCTGGAGGTTGAGGCGGACACAGCCCTCCTGCTCATGGCGCGGGTCCACGGCCGGCCTGCCCTTGGGGCTCCAGCATGCAGAAGGAGGCACTGCTAATACACCCTGAGTCACTGGCCCCACCACAACAGCCCCGCTTTCCCAAGGTTCCTGGGGGGGTTAGGTCTCAATTCCAGAGAGTACCAGGCAGGGCTGGCAGTGGGGCCAGCTAAGCTGCCCTTGCGATACCTGCATCCCATGTGGGCGCCAGTTCGAGTCCTGGCTGCTCCACCTCCAATCCAGACGCTGCTAATGCGCCTGGGAAAGCAGAGGAGGATGGCCAAAGCTTAGGCCCCTGTACCCACGTGGGAGACCCAGATGGAGCTCCTGGCTTCTGCCTAGCTCAAACCCAGCTGTTGTGACCATTGGGGGAGTGAACCAGCAGATGGAAAGCCTCTCTCTCTGATAAATCTTTCATCATCATCATCATCGTGGGGTTTCCGGGGCTGCAGACTGAATAAGATTAGAGATGCTGGCGTGGGGGTGAGGTGGGTGACTGAGACTGGGGTCAGGGGTAACAGTTCGGTTCTGGAACATCAATGTGCCCAGGGACACCCAAGCCTGGGCGAGAGGACAGCCTCTGATCTGAAGGGGTTGTGGAGGTTGGGGGTCTTTGTCCTGCATTCCACATCCTGGCATGCCCTGTGCTGCCAGGTCTGCCCACCCCTCGGGTCTCAGAGTGCCCTGTGCTGCCAGGTCCCCCGTGGCACCCACCTTGTGGGCAGCCTGGATCTCCCGGCGCACTAGCTGCTTGAGTGGAGGTTGCCCGTCACCAGGTGGCTGCGTGTAGAGCTGCGCCCGCGTAATGCCCTTCCAGGTGGTTTCCTCTGGCCAGCCCAGCTGCAGCAGGGGCACCGGCTCCTCCGACTGCTCAGGCCAGTAGGTTGAGGTACCCGTGTCCCCAACAACGGCATCGACGGCTGCTCCCTCAGTCATCCCTTCAGGCTCCTGCCCGGCTCCCACCCAGTCTTCTGCTGCTTCCGCCAGCCACTGGATCTCATCGCTGCTCAGGAAGCTTCGCAGCCCCTCGCGCTGCACGCAGGCGTCGAAGGCCTCGGCCCCGTGGCTCAGCAGGGCTTCCAGCGCCAGCCGCTGCCCCTCAGAATACAGGAAGCAGGGGCTGGCCTCGGTCACGGGCAGCAGCTCCTCGGCCCCCGATTCCTCTCCCTCCAGCGCTGCCAGTTGTGAGGCCGCCATTGGAGCAGCTCAGGTGTGGCACGGGGGGGGGGACGTGGGAGAAGGCTAGGTGCTGAGCCTGGGCTGCCTAGAGGGCACTGATCATCGGTGGTCTCCTGCGGTTGCCCCTAACAGACCACCCACCCTCCACCTTGGTCTTTTCACACTGCCTGCTTGCTCCTCCAGGGGGGATGTCTCTGGACCCTCCTTCAAGCTGTTTCACTGTCAGGCTGACCACTGGACATTTCGTCCCACAGTGCAACACATCAACTGGCCACACAATGCCTCCTTGAAACCTTCAGCTGCCCTGAGCTTGGTCAGGATGGCCATCCAGGGCCTGGTTACCTGCCTGATGGCATCCAGGCACCAAGCTGTCTGCCCGTGCCCCTGGTCACCCAGGAGCCCTTACGGCTGCCCCTCTCTGGACACCTCTTCCTCCTAAGGCCGCACCAACTGCTGCCTGTCCCACCCAGCCCGGCGGCGGGCTCAGCAGCCCTCAGTGGCCCTTTGGCACCTGTACCACGCCCTGGAGCAGCACATTCCAGGGAGTCTGGACATGGCTCCACCCCGGCGGGGAACTAGGCCTGAGGTCCTGGTCCCTCCACACAGGACCCTGCTTCTTGGAGCAGCACCTGCCTTGAGCAGCTGCAGGGAGAGTGGGGTGTGCTGTGGGCAGCCCCAGGCTCACGGAGCTGACCCATGGTCCCCACCGCCCATTGAGCTGCCACTGAGCCTGAACCAATTCACTTTCCTACCAGCAAACCCTCGTTCTGTTCAGTTGCTCCCAGTCCCCACATGGGCCCTGAGCCCCAACAACCCAGCAGCCCCCCCAGCTCCACAGTGCCCTTCCACCACCCCTCAGGAGCCCTGTCCAGAACAGCAACCAGCCCCCACACCCCCCTGAACGTTCTCTGCCTCCCACTTCTTGCCTTTCCAGAAGACACGGCAGGAGTGCCGGGACCTACAGCTTTCCTGCCGGTTCTTCCGGGTCCCGCCTTCCTGGGAAGGCCTGCCCCTTGTGTAAACGCAGAGCAGGGAGGCGGCCCCAGGGGCAGTGTGCCAGGAGTGACCAATGACACAAAGGCTGGCAAGGGAGGTGGCAGCACCTCATCTGTTCTCAGGAACCCCAGCCCCGCCCTGACCTATTTCCTGGTCCTCCCAACAGAGGCCGGGGCAGGGACAGCCAGCATGGGTGGGCGTGGCTAGTCCAACAAGCACAGAAACAGCTGACCCAACATGCTCCTCCCAGAACCCTCCCCCGACACAACACACAGGTGTTCATCCAAAACATTTTTATTAACAGTACAGGATGCAGAATTAATTTTTGTAGCCGCGGCTGGCCCGTCTGCCTCTGGCGCGCTCGAACTTCCGGCCCTTGGAGCGGACATAGGGTCTGTGGGGGGAAGAGAAAGGTGAGGTGAATCAGACAATGCCGGCCAGCAGCAGCACCAGGTGGGACCTGCAGCGCAGCTGTCACAAGGGACGTGGTTCAAGCTGTCCCACTTCCTATCCAGCGGTGTGCTGGTGCACATGGGGAAGCTGCCCACGGCACTGGGCCCCTGCGGCCAGGCTGAGCTGACTCAGCCCTGGCCATCTATCCCAGCAGAGGCCAGGCCCACGCGCTGCCGGTCGGCGCTCAGCCTGTGGAACCACCAGGCAGGGGATGTATACTCACTTGGTGTGGCTGTGCGGGGTGCCAGGGGCCTTGCCGAAATGCCGGTACACCTCTCGGCCCTTTCGAGGACCTGGGGGCGGGGGTGCACACGGAGAGCTCAGGCGGGGGCCTGGACCTGACCTCCCACACCTGGGAAAGGGGCTCCGCAGACTCACCGGAGAGCAGCACGGTGCCCCGGCCCTTGGGGGAGTCCAGCGCCAGCTGGTCGAAGGTGAGGATCTTGCCGCCCGCCTTGAGGATGCGGCTGCGGGCGCGACTGGTCACACGCAGGGCGCACACCTGGGCAGGGGCAGTGGGTCAGGCCCTGCCGCGCAGGGAGCACCCAGTCCCCAGACTCCCCAGCCGCCTCACCTTGAGCTTGGGCACCTCCAGCACGCGCACGTCGTCGGTGATGGTCCCCACAACCACAGCTGTCTTGTTTTCCCGGCCTGGCAGCTTCATCTTCCGGATCTGGAGTGCAGAGGGGGAGGGCTGCCATCAGCGGACCCCGGCTCCCGGCGGACACCCCTTTTCCACCACGCCCACCCGGTCCTGCACGGCCACCCACCATCCGGGACAGCGACAGGGGCGGCCGGTTGGTGCGGCTCATGAACAGCCTCTTGAGCACCACCTGGTTGAAGGTCGAGTTGGTCCTCCTGGCCAGAAACCGGTAGAGCTGGAGAGAAGAGGGGTACAATGAGCGCCTGGGGGGCTGCGGGCTGCGCCCCAAAGCTCCGAGGGACGCCCCGAGCTGCAGAGGCGGGATGCCGCGGGCTGCACCCCAGAGCCCCGAGATGCCCCGGAGCTGCAGAGGCGGGATGCTGCGGGCTGCGCCCCAAAGCCTCGGCGCCTCACCTTGACCAGCAGCCGCAGGTAGATGTCCTGGCTCTTGGGCTCCTTGCGCCGGACCTTCCGGTCCTTGTTGTGGCGGATGTCCACTCCCTGCGAGGGGCCAGAGGGATCCCGGGTTGCACCCCAGCTCACAGGCCCCGCAGGCCCGTGTCCACCCGGAAAGACCTCCTGGTCCTAACCGAGCACGACCCTCCCCTCTTAAGAATGTCAATATTAACGTACCCCTTCAGCGTCCCCCAAAAGCCCCTCATTGCTCCATGCCAGCAAAGTGTGCGTTACCTCCTCGCGGCCAGGCGCTCACGCTGACCCCGAGACTCCGGCGGAGCCCCCACCGCGGATCCCCAAACCCCCTTCTCCATTTCCCCCACACCCCGACTCTCCAGGGCAGAGGCAGCCGAAAGCCTGGCCTCGTCGTCACTGCCCCTGTCCTCCCATCGGGTCATCGGCTCAACAGGGATCCCAGCGGGTCATGCCAGAACCCGGACACCCGTCCCTCCGACCCATCCCTGCGCTCCGGCGCCCCGCGGTTAGCGCTCTCGCCGCGGGAGTCGCTTCCTGGGACGCCCGTGGGCCCCCTGTCTCCCCCTAGCACGTCCTCGAGCCCGTCTCTAAAGCCGATGGCGGTGGATGCGGCAAAGACAGTACCCACTCACCATGATGGCGCTTCCTCCCTGGCCGCGTCCGGAAAAAGAGAGAGAAACACCGAGCGCGGCGCCGGAAGGGGTGTGGAAAGCCTTCCCCGAGCGGCGCGCGCGTGACGTCACGAGCACACGACGCGGCGCTCTGCCCGGGCTCCTCTCGGTGGTGCGTCGGAGGACCAGCGGGGGGCAGCGACGGCCCAGGAGGAAGCGGCGTGACGTCAGGGGGCGGGGCCTCCCGGACGCTCTGGCCCGGCGGCCGGGGAGACTCGTTGGCGCCCGGAGGACTCGGCGGGCCGAGCCTGGGAGGTGAGGAGGCGGGGCTGGCTCGGGCCTCCGGAAACCTGTGTCCTCCAGGCGCTTCCTTATCAGGTTCACCTCCGTCTTATCTTGCACTGCGTTCTTCTAGGCGGCTGCCGCTGCTCGGGAAGTCCTACTACTGGAGAGCTAACCCGATGGCTTCTTGCTGCAAGTCCATCTAGAGGCCCCCCGACCTCTCTCACCCCGGCTCTGCTGCCTTTTTTTCTCAGCTGCGCCCCCAGCTGACCCTGACCCTGGCCCCGGCCTGACCCTGGGGAAGGGGCAGTGGGCGTCCTTCTCCAGCCGGCCCAGCAGTGGCGGTGTGTGAGGCATGTGCTGGGGCGCATGGAGGGCGCAGGGAGACCCCAGCTTGCAGGAGGCGTGGGGGTTGAGGAGAGGCTCGGTCTGGTGGGTGGGGGCGTCGCACCAGGGGAGGAGGGATGGAGAGCCCAGGAGAAGCAGGGTTCCTGCTCCCTGGTTCTGGGGTGACCATGGCCCCAGTCCTGTGTTTGCCTCTGACCCAGGATTAATGCTAGGCTTGCTGTGTTCCAGGAGTCAAGTGCTTCCCTCGTGCTCGGTGCACACTGAGGGCTCATTAAGGGCCAGCCCCCATCCCGTGATGGTCACTGACGCGGGTGCCACCCAAGGAACCAGCTGGGGCAGTGAGGAAGCTGCTCAGTTCAGCAGAGCTTCCTCTAGGCTGCCAGTAGCGCATGCTCACGCCTCCTCTCTCCTCTGCAGGGCGCAGGGCCAGGCCAGCACCCTGAGGTCCCGCTGCTTGCCCGGCTCGCGCTCCAATGGTGTCAGACTCCGGCCTGGGGCCCCCCTGACGTACTGGAGTGGAGGCCTGGCAGCTGCATGGACCCCTGGAGCCGCCGGACCAGGTGAGGGTCAGCATCCCTGGGGAACAGGTGCAACAGACTTGCTCCCTAATTTTTCCTTTTTTTTTTTTTTTTTTTGAAAAGCTGAGTTAGAGACAGATCTTCCATACACTAGTTCATGCTTCAAATGGGTGTAGTGGCCAGGGCAGGATGCTTCCTCTGGGTCCCAAGCACTTGAGCCCTCCTCAGCTGCCTTCCTTGCACTAGCAGGGAGCTGAGTTGGTAATGGAACAGCTGAGACCCACGGTGACTCCCACCTGGGAATCCGGCGTACCCGGTGCACTAGCAGGGAGCTGGGTTGGTAGTGGAGCAGCTGGAACCCACGGTGACTCCCACCTGGGATGCCCACGTGCCCGGTGGAGGCTGAATGTGCTAGGCCACACAGCGCCAGCCCTGCTCTCTGTGCGTCCTTCCCCGGGCCGTTGGTGCTGTGCGTTGGCTGCGAGACATGCCATGTGGCGATCCGTGGCCGCCTGTGTGTCTCTGGGTGTTGCTGTCTCCGCAGGGCCAGGCCTTAGGTGGCCTCTCTGGGCATCCCTGGGCTGACCCCGGCCTCGCCACCCACGCCCTAAGCTTCAAAGCCACTCTCTTTGTGTGTCTGTGTCTTCCGGTCCACGTGGTGTGTCCGCTGGGGAGATGTTAATCTCTGGCCGCCTGGTTGGGAGCCAACTCCTTGGTGAATGTGAGCCAGACTCAGCTAGAAGCCGTCTCCCTGCTGCTCAGCTACATTGTTTTGATCTCCTTGTTTATTTCCCTGCCTTGCTCCTGAAAAATACTTTCTCCCACCCAGCTCTCGACCTCTGACCCCCACACTTATTGGGCTCGCTGCCTTGGTTTGTGGCTTTCACGAAGTCCCTTTGCACGTCTTGGAGTCCTCCATGCCTGTGTGAGGGTCTCTGGAGCGAAAAGGCCGCCGGTCCCACGCCCCTTTTATTATTAACCTGCTGTGTCTGGCACCGATTTGGCTGGGCCCTCAACAAAGATGGCGGCGGAGGCGCTGTTTGTAGGGTCATGACGCTACCGCGGCTGTGCGTCCGCCCTTTCTCTTGATGGCGGCGCGGTGCGTGAGGCCCCGCCTATATGTCAGGGTTCTTCCGCGGCCGGCCACTGCGCTAAGCGCTTGCAGTTGCTGGCCCCGCCCTCCGTGCGCTCTCATTGGCCAGACTGAGACCAAGTGTGCAGCTATTGGTGGAGCGGATGCACACCCTCCCCCCACCCCTGCGTCTGATGGGGGCGGTTGGGGCGGACGGGAGGAGAACCCCGCTAGGGAAGAGGGTTGCGGAAGTCTGGAAGGGGGAGCCCGGAGCAGCGCACACAGGGGACCAGGACATGGGAGGTGGTGATGAGAAGTCCGCACGGGGACTGAGGCATCTGGGGCTGGCAGTGGAGTAGGGATGGGGGCCTCGGGACACACGCCCCGGCCCATGGACTGGGGACCTGTGGGTGCAGTCCCAGGCCTCCGGATCCTCGGGGACAGCGAGCCAGGCGCAGCACCCGAGCACAGCCAAGGGTTGCATGCCTGAGCCGGATCCCTGGTGCCCACGTGCCCAGGGCGAAGCGGTGCAGGTCGGGGGGTGTGGCCGGCGCCCTAGGGCTGCAGGACCCGCCCGCCCGCCCGCCAGACTCGGGCAAAGGTGATCTTGAGGGTGAGTCCGCGGTGGGGTGCATGGGGTGGGAGAGGCCTCTGTGAACCCCGGGGACTGGCAGGCGGCCGGTGGGCGGGGCAGTGGGCGGGGACGCAGGTGAGCCAGCAGCAGGTAAGGTGGCCGGAGCTGGCAGAGGGCAGGCGAGGAAGGGGACCTGAGCGCTGGCCTCCACCCCTTCCCGGAGAGCAGACGGCCGGACGCCAAGGTCGGTCCTGGGGCCCAGCCCTGCTCCTCCCTCCGGCCGCCCCTGGGTCTTCCCCGGGCTTTCCCACTGCTGGCCACATCCGGCTCTCCTGCCCTCCCCGAGTCCCTGGGACCAGCCCTGGTGTGCCTGCAGCGTTTCCCTGGCTCTCCTTTCTCTGCTTTGTGTTTGAGATTTCACAGGGGGCTGGGAGGGGGCGGTGGGGATGGGGGGCATGTTTCCTGGCCTTTGTCCCAGAGCGTCCTCATCCTCACCTGTGTGTTCTGCACTGGCTCTACTGTCTTCTCGTTAAACTGGAAGTGCAGTCTGTTTTGTTCCTCACTGCGTTCGGCCTGGCACCCCGAGTGGCAGGCACATGGCGGCACTGGCTGATTATCCAGTGAGCGTATGCCCGCCTCGGTCTTGAACCTCCACGCCCAGCTCACCTCCGCTCGGACCTGCTGCTGTCGCCCCATGCGTGTCTGAGCCCGTGTGTGTGTGTGTGTGTGGGTGGGCTGCCCGTGCCACCTGCCACACACGGTCCCCAGCTCTGATCCCCTGTCCTCCATCCTCCCCACAGAGGCCAGACCAGGAGCTGACGGCGAGCTGGGGCCAGGTGCCCGGGTGTGCCCTGGACAGGGCTGAGGCCATGGCCCCACCACTGGCCGCCAGCACCCCACTGCTGCATGGCGAGTTCGGTTCCTACCCCGCCAAGGGTCCACGTTTCGCCCTCACCCTGACATCACAGGCCTTGCATATCCAGCGGCTGCGCCCCAAGCCCGAGGCGCGGCCCCGGGGTGGCCTGGTCCCGCTGGCCGAGGTCTCAGGCTGCTGCACCCTGCGAAGCCGCAGCCCTTCAGACCCAGGGGCCTACTTCTGCGTCTACACCTACCCTCAGGGCCGACGAGGGGGCCGGCGCAGGGCCGCCCGCACCTTCCGAGCCGACGGGGCTGCCACCTATGAGGAGAACCGCGCTGAGGCCCAACGCTGGGCCACTGCCCTCGTGTGTCTGCTCCGGGGACTGCCGCTGCCTGGGGACGGGGGTGAGGCACCAGGGCACCTGCAAACACCCCAGTCTCTCCTGGTGTCTGAGAGACACACAGCGCCAAGGGAAATGAGTCGCATCCCCTCCCCCACCCTGGTGCTGACCACAGATGAGTCAGCCACGCTGGTGACTGGTCACCACCCAGAGTGACAGCTGGCCTCTGGGGCACCCCAGGCGGCCAGAGTAGTGTCTGAGGAGGCCCTGGGGTGGGGGCTGCACTGGCGCAGGAAGGACGAGGTCTGGGGCTCCCCATCTGGGCAGGGGGCCTGGGGCCGCCCTCAGGGGGAGTGCCATGATGGGGCAGCGGGTGTGCATGGTACCAGTGCCCCAGCTCCCAGGCCCTCCCACAGCTGGGTCCAAAGGACACTTGGACCCAGCAGCCCTGGGATGGGTGGGGGCAGGGACGCCTCAGGCTGCCTGGAGGGAGGGGCCTGGGAGGCCCCCCCAACCCTGTCCTCTCTCCCCAGAGATCACCCCTGACCTCCTGCCTCGGCCAGCCCGGCTGCTCTTATTGGTCAACCCGTTCGGGGGGCGGGGCCTGGCCTGGCAGTGGTGCAAGAACCATGTGCTGCCCATGATCTCTGAGGCAGGGCTGTCCTTCAATCTCATACAGACGGGTGAGTCACGGGGAGGGGGCCAGGGCCGCAGCAAGCCAAGGCCCAGGTGAGGGGACTGCCCGCCTAACCTCCCTGTTTGCCCCCCCTTGTGCTGTAGAGCGGCAGAACCATGCCCGGGAGCTGGTCCAGGGGCTGAACCTGGGCGAGTGGGATGGCATCGTCACGGTCTCGGGAGATGGGCTACTGTACGAGGTACTGCGGGAGCCCTGGGTGCTAGGGCAGCTGCAGAGCTGGAGAGCTGCCAGGGGCACCCCAGACGTCTCGTCTCTTCCTCACACAGGTGCTCAACGGGCTCCTGGACCGCCCCGACTGGGAGGAGGCTGTGAAGACGCCCGTGGGCATCCTCCCCTGCGGGTCGGGCAACGCGCTGGCTGGCGCCGTGAACCAGCGTGGGGGGTAGGTGTGTGCCCCTGCCCTGGTGGGGGGTGTGGCAAAGGACCCCACAGGGAGGGATGCCCCCTACTCCCTGGGACAGCGGGGACCTCCGATCCACTGTCAGTGTCAGTCTTGGACACTTCCTGCCCATGTTGCTCCGAGCCGTGTCCGTAGCAGCTGGGAGCCAACCCTGTAGGAATCCTGAGTAGGTCAGAGATTGTGGCCTCATGGGCCTCCGCGTGGCAAGGTCCACTGTCCGCGTGTCTCTGGGCTGTGCACCCTGTCCGTGTTGCCCACCCCCTCTCCCCTCCGCACTCAGCCTCTCACCTGCCCCCCGTTGCTCTCCCTGCCTCCCTCCTGCGTGCCTGGGCGACTGTGAAGGTTTGCGCCGTGCCTGGGACTTGACCTGTTGCTCAACTGCTCCCTGTTGCTGTGCCGGGGCGGCAGCCAGCCACTGGACCTGCTCTCGGTGACACTGGCCTCTGGAGCCCGCTGCTTCTCCTTCCTGTCGGTGGCCTGGGGCTTCGTGTCCGACGTGGACATCCAGAGCGAGCGCTTCCGGGCCCTGGGCAGTGCCCGCTTCACACTGGGCACAGTGCTGGGCCTGGCCGCGCTGCACACCTACCGAGGCCGTCTCTCCTACCTCCCAGCCTCCACGGAGCCCCCCTCGCCTGGTCCCAGCCTGCCCCGTGCCAAGTCTGAGCTGGTTCTGGCCCCGGCCCCGGCCCCTCCTGCGGCCCACTCCCCACTGCATCGCTCCGTATCCGACCTGCCCCTGCCCCTGCCCCAGCCGTCCCTGGCTTCCCCTGGCTCCCCGGAACCCCTGGCCGTTCTGTCCCTCAATGGGGGAGGTCCAGAGCTGGCTGGAGACTGGGGCGGGGCCGGGGATGCTCCGCTGTCCCCAGACCCTCTGATGCCCTCGCCCCCCAACTTGCCCAAGGCAGCTGTACTCTCCCCCATCACTGAGGGGCCTCCAGAAATGCCAGTGTCTTCTGGGCCCCATCCTCCTGGCCCTGGCACCCCAGCAGCTGCCTGCAGGTGGGGCCCTCCTGACCACCTGCTGCCTCCACTAGGCAGTCCACTGCCCCCAGACTGGGTGACGCTGGAGGGAGACTTCGTGCTCATGCTGGCCATCTCGCCCAGCCACCTGGGTGCCGACCTGGTGGCTGCGCCGCACGCACGCTTTGACGATGGCCTGGTGCACCTGCTCTGGGTGCGCAGCGGTGTCTCGCGGGCCATGTTGCTGCGTCTCTTCCTGGCCATGGAGAATGGTAGCCACTTAAGCCTGGGCTGTCCACAGCTGGGCTATGCCACTGCCCGTGCCTTCCGCCTCGAGCCGCTCACGCCTCGCGGTGTGCTGACGGTGGACGGGGAGCAGGTGGAGTACGGGCCTTTGCAGGCGCAGATGCACCCGGGCATGGGCACACTGCTCACCGGACCCCCTGGCTGCCCCCGGCAGGAGCCCTAACCCTCAGAGCTGGGGACCCGCTGGGGGCGGGGCCTACATTCCAAGGGGTGGAGCCTGAGCTGGGGGCGCGGCCTGGCTGCTAAGAGGGAGGAAGCCCCTGAGGGGCACCCACCCCATCTCAGGATCACTCCGGTCCCCGGAGAACCAGAGGGGAAGTCGGAGGGCGCTCCCCGAGGGTGGTGCATGTCGGGCCGGGACTGGCCTCGGGCTCTTGGAGAGCCACAGCGGCCAAGGGCGGGAGCCCACCTTAGCGTCACCCCATGACGGAAGCTGGAATGTAAGAGCCGGGGAGGCCTCAGGTGGCCGGCCAGTCAGGCCTGGGTCTCAGACCCACTCCGGTGCCTCCACCTAACTGGCCAAGCAGCCCGGGTGGGGCAGGTTCCCCGGGGCCAGCGCTCGGATTTGCACTAATATTCCTGCCTTCGAGGGCGCAAGCAGGGCAGTCCAGTTCGTGTGCGTCCTTCCTCTGTCCCCAGACTAAAAAAGCAATTGAAAAGGTCTATGCAATAAAGGCAGTCGCTCATTCCTCGCAGACCTTTGCCCCTTCCTGGTCCCGCAGCAGCTCCTGCCTTCAGCGGGCGCCAGTCACGCAGCCGCCGTCTCCCGCACAACAGCTGGTTCTGGAGTTCTCAAGATTTATTCAGGATGGTATTCATGGAGATGGGAAGATGGGGTCCCCAACGTGCCGGGGGGTGGGCACACACACACACACACACAGGACTCTCTCCACCCCCACGAGGAGGGGGATGGGGAGACTCTTTTTCTTAAAAATATAAATGTATTTATCTTATCGTCACGTCCCTGGGACACCCAGCTGGCCAGCCCGTGGGCCACAGGGGAGGGAGGAGGAGGTCAGAGCACAGGGTGCAGTGAGGCGGGTCACAGGGCCCCGTGCTGCGCCTGGTAGCGGGACAGCACGGCGCGGTAGTGGGACAGCTCCTGGCGCACGGCCACCACCTCCTGGCGCAGCAGGGCGTTCTCCTTCTCCAGGAAGGCCGCCCGCACCGAGATCTGGTTTTCCTTGAGCCGCCGGGCATCGCGGGACCGCTTGGCCGCCTCGTTGTTCTTGTACCTTCGGCTCCAGTACTTCTCATCCTGCGGAGGGCGGAGGGTGCTGAGAGCCAGGTGACCCAGGCAAAGGGACGGAGGAACGGGCAGCAGCTTCTCACAGACCCCCCCCCTCTGGTTGCTAGGGAACGCACGTCCCTTGCGACAGACAAGCCAGGAGGTGGACCACCCCTCCCCCAGCTTTGCAGTGACCACTGCGGGGCAGCCCGCTGGGCTCCTGGTTGCCAGGATGCTTGTTTCCTAGCAACATGGCCTTGGGGGGGCTCAAGGCTTCTCCCTACACGATCTCCATAGACCCTGGTTGCTAAGGAAGCTGCAGCAGCACGGCATGCGCACCATCTAGTGCTGGGCCTGTGGTGACCTGGTTGCCAAGGCAACCTCATCCTACAGGGAGATCCACAGTGGTCCTGAGGATGGCACCTGACCCAGGACATCCCACTGGGCTGTGCCCAGGAGAATTGTGCCTTACTACCAAGGACCACAGAGCTGTGAAGGCGCCCCCTCGCCATTTACTCAAAGCCCACTTCCGCTGGCTCTGCCAGGGGATCCAGACGCCCTCGGGAAGGTCCCATCACTGGAGAAGTTGCTTGCTGCTCCAGCTCTGACACAGGGCAACAGCAAAGTTTAGGGGAGATCTTGGGAACCCCAAACCCAAACGCCCAGGGAGCCAGACCACGCGTGAGGCTGGCACAGAGCGATTCCCCAGCTGGCACGCTCACTCCCAGGCCCGCCCTTAGCAGCGGGGCCAGCGGGCCTCAGTCTGCACTCCCCACCCTCACCTTCTGCTCCTCTGGCACCTGGATCTTCCGCGCCTTCTTCATGATTGGCTGCGGCTTCAGTTCCTCCTCGGAGAAGCGGTGTCTCCGGGGGTCAAAGGTCTCATGGCCGGGGATACTCGACAAGGCCAGGTCAGTTGGGTCGGGGTCAAAGGTCATCAGCACCTCCACCGTGTCTGGGTCCACGGGGCTGGGTGTGTCCCGAGAGGTCAGGCCTGGGGGCGGGAAGGAAGTCGGTCACCTCCGGGTGTTAGTTTGGGGACATGGGCTCCCACAGGCTCTCCTTCCACTGGGCTGCCTCCTTTTGGGATGCGGCTTGAAGCCTCCCCAAGGCGAAGCCAAAGACACGGAGACCTCGTGGAACCACGGGCCAACGCCATGGCTTGTGGATCCTCAAGACGGCAGCTTCAGCGTCAGCTGCTGAGGTGGAACCAGGTTCCAGAAGGCCGGTGTGCCAGGAGGCGCCTGCGCCTTTAAGAGCGCGCAAGCCGAGGCCAGCCGAGGACACGGGGTTCAGGGCCGCGTCACGTGCCGAGCCCGGCTCCCCTCCCCCTGCCCGCCCGCTCGTGCCACGGCGCGTGCGCCCAGCACCCCGGCCTCACGTGCACAGGAGTGTGCGGGGGAGGGGGAGACGGCGGAGGGGCCGTGCCACCCGGGGGTCACACCGCCAGCTGGGGTGCCCGGTGCTGTCCAGGGATCACACCGCCAGCTGGGGTGCCCGGTGCCATCCGGGATCACACCGCCAGCAGGGGTGCCCGGTGCCACCCGGGGATCACACCGCCAGCTGGGGTCTCCCAGGCTGTCCACGGATCACCCCGTGGCAGGGCTGCCCGCTACTGCCTGGGGTTTGCTGCCGGCTAGGGTACCGGAGGGTCCCGGTGTTCACCCTGCCAGCTGGGGTGCCCGGTGCTGTCCGGGGATCACCCTGCGGAAGGGCTCCCCGGTACTGTCTGGGTTTGCCGCCGGCTAGGTTGTCCGGAGAGTCCCGGTGCTGCCCGAGGGTCACCCCGCCAGCTGGGGTCCCCGCCAGCCCACCGGCCTTGGAGCGGCCGGTGCGCCTCTTCTCCTCCCGGCCTCTCCAGCCCCGAGGGAGCGGCGGCCACTGCCGTGCCCGGGACCCCTCGTCCTGCCCCTGGAAGCCTGGCCCTGGCTCCCACGGAGGAACCCGGTGTCCCAGTGCTGGGCCGTGTCCCGGCTGCGGAGGGCGCGCCCGCATCCTGGCTGTGCAGCCTCGCCTTCGCCCCTCGGTCAGTGCTAGCCAGCCCGGCTGGATCCCAACTGCAGACCTCCGGTGTCCACGGCGCACGGGCAGGCAGGGGGCTCCTGGCGCCCAGGGGGTTGCCCCTTCTCCCGGAGCCTCACCCTCCCCAGCAGGCGGACCCCGGGCCACCCCGGGTCGCACCTGCGCGCTGGCCGCCGGCGGGGGCGCGTCGCGGCGAGGAGCGCGGGGAAGCCGAGCCGCACGAGCCGGGCCCTGGGGAGGCTGCGGGGGCCGGCGGGCTGGGCGGCAGCCCGTGCTCCAGCAGGAACGCGTCCAGGTCCACGTACTCCACGTCGCCGAAGGGCAGCGTGCGCTCCCACAGCAGCGGCGCCAGCAGGCTCGGGCCGGGCGCGGCCCCCGGGCGGCCCCGCGGGGATCCTCCGCCGCCCAGCACGGCCGCCTCGGCCGGGGCTCCCGCCGCTGCCGCTGCCGCTGCTGCCGCCGCCGCCGGTGCCGGCTCCAGGCCCGGGGCTCCCGGCGGGGCCGCCTTGCGCTCCCTTTCCTTCAGGAGACCTGCGGGGCCGGGGTGGGGCGGGATGGACATGGAGAAGAGGGGTGCGCGATGGGGAGGACGACGCAGCGCGGGGCGCAGGACAGGGAGCGAGCAAGGACCCGGCCCCCCACCTGTGCGCAGGTGCCCCCCGGACCCCCAGACTCCATGTGACCCCGCCAGGCTCCGCCCAGGCCCGTGTCCCCTCCGTGTGCGCAGCCGGCACGCCCCCCGGGACCCGCGGAGGAGGCGGCGGCGGCTGCCGGAGTCCAGGGCCGGCCCGGTCCTCCTGGCACCGGGATCCCAGCCCCCGTCCCCGGGTGGCACTCACAGCCGGCCGGCTCCCGGGGCTTGCCCGGGCCCTGCAGGAGGCCGCGCAGCCCCAGCGGCGCCCCGGCGCCCGGCGGCACGGGGGCGGCGGTCCGGTCGCTCAGAGGCCGCGCCATGGCCGGGCAGCGGCCCCCCGGCTCACGGGCTCCTGCGTGGGCATGCCCCTGGCAGCGCCGCCGAGCTGCACCCCGCGCCGCGCGCCCAGGCCCGGCGGAGCGGCCGCCCCGGGGCGGGGACACCGCAAACTTTCGCGGAAAAAAAAAAAAATAACAAAACACCGACGCCACCGCGCGCCCCTCCCCGGCCATGCTCCCCGGCCGCGTGCCTCCGCGGGGGGCGGGGCTGCGCCGGCGCGGGCCAATCACGGCGCGAGCCCCGGGGGCCGCAGCCAATGGGAGCGTGAGGAGCGCGGCGCGTGCGGCGGCCAGGGCGCGCCGAGGGGGGCGGGACGCTGACCTACATTCGCCCAATGGGAGGCGGTCCGGGGGGCGGGACCGTGACCCAGTTCTGGCCAATAGGGGAGGAGGGAGGTGGGGCCGCACGTGGCAGCGCACGTGCTGCCGCCGGCGTGGAGGGAGGGGCTCTTAAAGGAGCCGCGCGCGAGGGCCGAGGGCGCAAAGGCAGCCGAGCCCCGGAGCCGGCGCCCTGGGAGAAGGCGGCCGCCCCCGCGCACCCCAGTGCCCGCCGCGCTCAGAACCAGACGGCCGAGACGCCACGCGTGCTGTGTCTCTTTAATAGCTTTGTTTTGGGGAGGAGGCTCCGGGCGCGCAGGTGCAGTCCTCAGCGGCCGTGGGGGACACCGTCCACTGTGAAGACAGGGCGCGGGGCGTTGAGTCGGGCAGCCGCGCTGGACCGGGAGGAGCGCGCGGGGGACGCGGCGGTAACTGCGGGCCGGGGAGGGGGCGGGGGGACATGGCGGCCTGGGCCGAACCACCGAGCACCGGGGGGGGGGGCCTGGGCTGAACCACCGAGCACGGGGGGGTCTGGGCTGAACCACTGAGCACCGGGGGGGGCCTGGGCTGAACCACCGAGCACGGGGGGGCCTGGGCTGAACCACCGAGCACAAGGGGCTGGTCCGAACCACCGCACATTCCGGGGGGGGCTGGGCCGAACCACCGAGCACACTGGGAGGGAGGCTGGGCTGAACCACTGAGCAAACCTGGGGGTTTTGGGCCGAACCACCGAGCACAAGGTGGGGGGGGGCTGGGCCGAGCCACCCAGCACATGGGGTGGCCTGGGCTGTACCATTGTGCACATGGGGACATTGGGCTGTACCACTGAGAGCAGGGGGGGAGTAGCAGCCTGGGCCAAACCACGCAGAGCATCGGTGATGGGAAAAGATCATAGCATGTGGATTACCCATAAGCGGGGTGCTCTTTGCCAGGGGACATTGGGAGGGGATCTGGTCCACACCATGCTGGAAAAAGTCAGAGGTACCGGACACATGAATGAGAATGAGCCTTGTGAAGCAGTGGAGAAGCAAGCCAGACCCGCAATGGTGTGTGGTGGGCTGCACCACAGGGACACGCGGGGTGGGGGCCGGAAAGGAGTGAGCATTCAGGCTGGAACATGGAGAAGCAGCACCAGGGGTGGGAGCGTACCCTACTCAGGCGCCCTGTTGTGGTGGGGAGGAGACCCGGAGCCTACCATGCAAACGGTAGTTGGGGCCTCGGCAGCGCCTCTCGGGGTGCCGGGGGTCCCGGTTTCCCCTCAGAGCCCGGTGGGCCAGGGGCTGCAGGGGCCGGCCGTTCCCGCTGAGGCTCTGGAAGATCTGCGATGGAGGGTTCTGGCTCAGCAGTCGTAGGGAGTGCATCTGCTGGGGAGGAGGGCGGTGTGAGCCTCTACACTCCACAAGGCTATCCAAGTGGGGTGCGCCATCCCGGGGCAGGGTCACCTGCAGGGAGGTGATGTTGAGGGCCCGGTCAATGAGGATCCAGGTGACGGTCTCCGAGCAGGGCGGGGTGCTGAGGGAGCCCTGGTAGGTGATGAAGCCGAAGGACTCGGGGAACAGGAGCTCCAGGCTCAGGTCTTGAAGGAAGTAGGCGTCGTCTGCACCAAGAGCAGGCCAGTGGGCAGGTGGGCCCCTGCGACCCCGCCCCCTCAGGAGTGTGTGTTGGGGGGAGACCCTCTCCCAGTATCCCACACTTACTTTTGTAGGAGATGCGGGTGATGGTGTCGCGGTTCAGGAGACGACTGAGGAAGGGGTTCGAGCTGCCTGCTACCTGTTGCAGGGGAGAAGGCAGAGCCCAAAGGGATGAGCCGCACCCCTCCCCAACCTTCAAGGTGGGGATTCCAGGTGCCCAGCACCCCCATCCCACCCCTGGCTCTCACGTTGACAAAGAGACTGAGAATGGCCACCCCGTTGGGGCCCCGGGCGGCTGCGCTGAGATTTCCGTAAAGTTCCTGATTGAAGTGAATGAGCTGCACCTGGGGAGAAGGGTGTACAATGTGTGTGTTTTGAGGGGCCAGAGCACGGTAAGGATGAGCACCCCAGGGCATGAGGTGTCGGAGGGAGTGGATGGACGTGGGCGCGGGGCAGCACCTCAGCTGAGAAGCCCTGATGGTTGATCTGGTGTTCGGAGCCAGCCCCGTCACGCGCTCCGAACAGCAGCCGCAGCTCGCTGAGTCGGTGGCTGTACAGGAGGGGACCCCCGGACACGTTGACCACAGGCCGGGGTGCAGGCAGGAAGGAGACATGGCGGCCAGTGTTGTACAGGGTTCCCCGGAGCTGTGGGAAAGGCAGGGGACACACAGAGGGAAGCCCTGGTCCCTGTCGCCGTTCAGCCATTCCCACACAGCCCCTGTGCTGGTCCACAGCAGATACCCAGGACTGGTGGTGGTGACAAGTCACTGAGCCGCCGCTACCATGGAGGCTAAGAACGGAGTCAGCCTGGTAGAGGTGATGCTGGGAGCCAAAATGAAGCAGGAGTTACTTGCGAAAGAGCAAGGGAAAGGAGATGCCAGGAGGAGCTTGTGGAGTGGCCAGCGCAGTGGCTCTGGGGTGGGGCAGCAAAAAGAGACCAGAGTCCAGTGGAGAGTGGCCAGGGCGGCCAGATGGTGCAGGGTTTTATGAACAAGGATAGAGATGGTTGCATATATGTGGCAACCCAAACCTACGGTGAATACTCTGTATTGGCTAGTATTCATCCTGACAGAAGGGTTTTGAGCTGAAGCATACCCTGGGATCTGTGTTCAAACCTCTCCCTGGCTGTGAGGGGAGAGTGGAGGCAGGGAGGCCAGTAAGCAGGGGACAGGGGGCAGCGGAGGTGATGGTGATGTGACTGCAAAGTGACAGGCTTGAATGACATTTGTTGAAACTAGAATAAACTGGGATTGCCGCTGAAAGAGCGGGGAGGATGAGAGAAGGTTCAGGAAGATGCTGGCTCGTACGAGGCATGATACTGCAAAGGGTGGTGGTGGTGGTGATGGGACAGGTCCCAGCATGAACACTGGGACCACACTCCCTGGTTTGCAGCCCAGCCCTCGCGCTGTAACTGTGGGGTCCAGGGCATGCATCTCAGCCTCTCTGTATCTGGTAAAATAAAGATAACATAGCACTTAGCCCAAGGAGTTGTGTGGGTTTAGCAAGGCTGGTGTGGGAAACAGTGTCTCTTCCATTGCACCTGCAGAGTGGGGAGGCCAGGGAGCCGTGTGTGTGTGTGTGTGTGTGTGTGTGTGTGTGTGTGTGTGTGTGTGCGCGCGTGCAGGCATCCTGCCAAGTGCAGAGCCTTCCCTATACTCCATGGGTCCCCTCTTCCCCCAGGGCTGATTTTCCCCTTTGCAGGGCTCCCCTGGACTCCCCACACCCGCCAGGCTGGGGAGCTGCACCATCCGGGCCCCTTACCTTCTCTCCCCCAGTGCTGAGCCTGAGTGGGGGCAGAAAGGGGTCATAAAGGACCCTCTTCAGCTCCACATCCACAGGGCTCTGCCGCTTCCCCACGGCACACAGACTCCAGGCGGCATTCACCAGACCCCAGAAGGGAGGTCCTGGGGGCAGAGCAGGAAGGGAGTGTGAATCTGGGTGCCCAGCGCCGGGATCTGCTAAGTAGGTGATGGCTTATCCTCTCCCCCACTCCCACCTGGTCCCAGGGGAGGAAGAGCTGGTCCCTGGGCTCCTGGGCCTGAGGTGGGAGGTGTCTGGGATTCCAAACTCTGAAATCCCGTGAGCTCCTCCCATCTCTTTGAGCCAATCCATTGCAAATAATCATGGAAGGAACTACAACTCCCAGAAGGCATCAGAACGGCCAGCCTCCCCACCCACTCACTGGCTGCCTCCTCAGAGCCCCACGGGAGTTGTAGTTCTTTGGTTCCCATCCCTCAGCTGGGTAATCAAGGTACCAGCGAGAGAAGTTGTAAGGGGAGACTGCTGGAAAAGGCGAGGGGCATGGTGCCACGCAGCCTCCGGCTTCCTGCTGGAGCCAGCAGCTGCCTCTCCCCGCGGATGCACACAGACTGTCCACCTCCACACTTTCCTTCCACTCACTCCCACTCACTACTTGAAATGCACATATATAATGTCCCATGGTGAGCGGCTGGGTTTCCAAAGGCTGGTTGGGCTGGAGGGAGGCAGGAGGGGGCTGGGGCTCAAGGTCCCGGGGAGGAGGGAGGGGTTGGGGAGGGAAAAAGGGGCTGGGGACCCAGAGTCCTGAGTCCAGGGTTGGCAGGGGTGTGTGGGGTGGGAGCGGACTCCTGGGTCCCCGCCCGGGGCTGCACCTGGCACGAAGTTTCCCTGGAGATTTTCCTTGTAGCTCCACCAGTCCTCGGGGTCAGGTGCGGGTCCGATGTGAGCTGGGAAGGGAGCAACTTGAAGCCCTCTCCTGGGCGCCCCCCACCTCTGCCCCATCCTCCAGAGACCCTCACAAGCCCCTCCCCAGGTCTTACCTGCCGCCCCCAGTGCGGCCCAGAGGAGCAGCGCGCGCGGGGCGCTCAGACGAGCTGCGGCCCCCATCCCCAGCAGGCCTGACAGCGACCCCCTCCCCAGCACCCTGCCGCCCCCCTCAGCTCCAAACCACCCTCTGACTGGGACCCTGCGCCTCCAGGACTTACAGCTTGCCACCACTCTTGCCTGCAGGGAGTTCTCCCCACGCCCCAGTTCCCCTAGGGACCCCGCCCCCTAAAGCCGCTCCCCCGTCTCCAGCCTGTGCACCTGCCTCTCCCCAGCCCACCCGGCCCTCCAGCCTCGGGCTCCTGCGGTCTCCCCGCTCCTCTCCCTGCCTTCTGCCTGCCCCCCGGGGTCCCCTCTCGGCTCGCGCTTCGTCCGGCTCTCCCGAGCCTCAACTCCATGCCTCCATCCTGCCTCCCTCACCTCCTCCCTTCCTCCCCGCTCTCCTCCCGCTCTCCCTCCGCCGGCCTCCAGCCTGGCACTCCCGCCCGCTCTCTTCTCTCGGCCCTGCCGCCCGCCTCCTCCTCCCCTCCTCTCTTTTCTCCAGGATCTTGGTGTTATTTAATTTTTTTTTTTTTTTTTTTTTTGTGGTCGGGGCGAAGGGGTGGGGGGGGTGGTTGCTGATCTCACAGCCGCAAGGAGCACTCCTCGGGCAGGTGCGCGGTGCGCCAGGGCCAGGCTGGGGGGGGTTCGGCTCGAAAGTCGTGGGTGGGGGGACGGGGTCGTGCAGGATGGTCCAGGACACCTGGGGCCCCCCGGGCGGGCCGCTCCCGTCCTCCGCAGAACCGGGGAGGAGGCGCTTAAGGCGGAGCTGCCAGAGGCTTTGGAAGTCGGGGCGCGCTTGGAGGAGCCGGGGTCGCTCCCCGCCCCCGGGGAGGCGGCGCAGGTGGGAGCCGCCCCCGCGGTACCCAACCCCCGCCAGCTCCATCCTGCGCGCCAGAGATGGCCCCAACGCGGCCGGGGGAATCCTCCTGGGAGCTCGGGGTGCGGTGAAGGCCGCTGACCGGGAGAGGGAGGCAGAGACCTGGCGAGGGAGAGAGGGGGGGGAGGCGAGCGCGCGGAGCGGCGAGGACGGAGGCGGGAGCCCGAGACATGGCGGAGGCGGGCACGAGGTGGGCGGGCGGCCCTCGGAGGGGGCTGGTAGGAAAGGAGAGAAAGTCGCGGGGCCGCAGGGAATCAGGGGAGACACCACATGACAGAGACCCCCTCCTGCAGCCCGGGCGGCAGAGGCGCACCCAGAGGGACCAGGCGCACTCGGGTGCTATGGGTTCCCAGGGACCCAGCTGCAGGGCGCGCCTGACAGAAGGGGGATGGGGTGGTGACGGGGGGCTGGAGCTGGAAGTGGACCCTCAGAGAGCCAGAGCCGAGAGGGGAGAGAGACCAGGCTCCCAGGATGGACAGCGGTGTTGCCTCGAGCCTCCTCGGGTAGGGAACTGGGGAGTGCCCTGCACCCCGTGGGTGTGGCCCTCGGCTAAGCCGCCATTCCTGAGTCACCCAGGCTAGCCCACACTCCTGGGAAAAGGAAGTTCGTCCCCTCCCCCGTCCACTTCCACACCTCCCCAGGGGAGTGTATTAAAGAATGCGCAGGCGTCTTTTGATTTTCTTAATGATTTATTCATTAGAGACACAGAGAGACCCAGTTCCCTTCTGCTGATTCACTCCCCGAGTGCCCACGGCGGCCCTGAGCCGGGCTGGCCACCGCAGCATCTGGGACCAACACACCTGCTAGGGGCTGCCGGCGTGGGGTCCCCTGTGAACCCACAGACGGGGAGAGCGGCAGAGACGGGCCCTGGACGAACCCATGAGGCTTGGAGGCCGGTAGCACGCTCCCTGAGAGCACAGCAGTGTGTCCGGAGAGACTTGGCCCCTGCACCGTGGAGACCCGGAGACGGACGGGCAGGGGCGCGGTGGCCGTGGCAGCAAGGCCCGCCCACTTCCCCAGCCCTGACCAAGCCTGTTCTCTGCTCTCATACATGCCCAGCGCAGCGGAGGCTGCAGTCGCCCGGGGCCAGCGGTGGGAGAACGCCAGAGCGACCTTCAGGGGACCAGCGCTCTGTGGCGCTACAGGCAAATCCTCCACCCTGCGGAGCCTGCATGTCATGTGGGCACTGGCTCTAATCCTGCTTGCTGCATTTTATTTTTAAAGATTTATTTATTTTATTGGAAAGTCAGATGTACAGAGAGGAGGAGAGACAGAGAGGAAGATCCTCCATCCAATGATTCACTCCCAAACTGGCCGCAATGGCCTACGCTGCGCCGATCCGAAGCCAGGAGCCAGGAGCTTCTTCCGGGTCTCCCACGTGGGTGCAGGGTCCCAAGGCTTTGGGCCGTTCTCCGCTGCTCCAGGCTACAAGCAGGGAGCTGGATGGGAAATGGAGTGGTCGGAGTATGAACTGGTGCCCAGATGGGATCCTGGCACATGCAAGGCAAGGACTTCAGCCACTAGGCTACCACGCCAGGCCCACCAGCTGCTGCACTTTTAATCCAGCTCTGTTTTATGGCCTGGAAGAGCAGATTTACAGAGCAAGAAGGAGAGAGAGAGAAAGGGAGAGGATCTTCCATTCACTGGGTGACTCTGCAAATGGCTGTAACAGCCAGGGCCGGGCCTGGCCAAAGCCAGGAGCCAGGGTCGTCCTCTGGGTCTCCTGGTCTCCCCGCTAACGTGTCTGGGAGGGCAGGAAAAGGTGGCTCCAGAGCTTGGGCCCTGCACCCGCAGAGACCTGGAGAAGCCCTTTGCTCCTGGCTGTTGGGGGCATTTGGGAAATGAATTGTTGATGGGACAGAGGCCTCGCTCTCCTTTCCCACTCTCTCTCGTAGCTCTGCCTTTCAAAGAAATAAATCTTTATTTATTTTTTTTTAAAGAGGAACTCTTCTTAGGGGGAGGACATTGAACTTGTAGACTCTGTATAATCCCAGCTGGGCCTGGGAACGCCTCTCTCCCTGGGAGATTTCTGAGTTTGAATTTGGGCTCCCAGGGGGGAGGGATCCCTGAGCCTTGATGACGATGGCATCCCACTCGGGCGGCCCTGCCCTCCGGGACTGCCCCCAGCCGAGCCGTGACATCCCACCTGCCCTGGCCTTGCCCAGCACCCTCAGCTCATCTCTTCTCCTGCCCTTCCACACCCCCCAGGGCCTGCAGCCTTCACACCTTTGTGCCAACTCGTCCCTGTGTCTGGGGTTCCCACTTCCCACTCCGTTTTTGGCTGAGTGTCTTGTCTTCCTAGGTGAGCAAGGGCCTCCTGTGAGTGGCAGGCCCTGGGGAGCCCGGGCTCAGAGCCTGTGCGGGCCGCGCCAGGCCAGAGGTGGGTCCCACAGGTGGGTTTCATGTCTGTTGGTCTCAGCTGCTGGGAATGAGCCTGAGTGGGAAGCTGCGAGCTCCAGGCTGGTTCCCATAGTCCGTCCCGGCCTCCTCACCTCCTCTCTTCAACTCCCAGAGCCTCCCAGAACCTGGCAAAACCCTCCCCATCTGGGTGGGGGGAGTGTGACCTCCAGGTGTTTAAATTCTTCAGCTTTTAAAATTTACTTATCTGTAAGGCAGAGCTAGAGAGAGGGAGGGAGAGGCATACACACACACCACAAATAAGAAGGTTCAATCTGCAAATGGCCACAATGCAATCTTCCTTGGGCACTGGTTCAAGTGCCACGCAGAATAGCGGACATGGGTAATGTGGCTGGTGCAACCCAGGAACCAGATGGCTAACTCATTTTAATTAATTTTTCATTTTTATTATTTAATTAATGTATTTATTTTGGAAAGACAGATTTACGGAAAGATCTTCCATCCGCTGGTTCACTCCCCATATGGTTTCAAAGGCCAAAGATAAGCTGACCTGAAGCCAGGAGCCAGGAGCTTTTTTTCTGGTCTCCTGTGTGGGTGCAGGGTCCCAAGGCTTTGGGCCGTCCTTGGCTGCTTTCCCAGGCCACAGGCAGGGAGCTGGATGGGAAGTGGAGCAGCTGGGACACAAACAAGTACCCATTTGGGGTCCTGGCGCATGCAAGGCGAGGATTTACTCACCGAGCCATTGCACCAATAATTTATAATTATTATAAATTATAATTAATTTATATGTGAATTAATTAAATTAAATTAAATTTAAATTAATTAAATTTTAAATTAATTAAATTTTAAATTAATTTAATTAAATTTAATTAATTCACATATAATTTAAAATTTCAAAAGTCTTAGTTGGAAAGCAGAGACTTCAAAGGGAGAGAGATTTCCTCCCCAGGAACCAGCCACAACCAGACTGAAGGCAGGAGCCGGGTCCCCCAGGTAGGGGGCCATTCCAGCTGCCAGGAGCACATAAAGCCAGGATGCTGGAGGCCGGACTGGGCCTGGAACCCGGGCATTGTGGCCAGGTTGCCCCGGGTTCAGGAGCTTCATCCTTGGCCCGACTGGAGCTGAAATAGCCTCATGTGGCTCACAGTCACTCACTGGACAGTCAGCTTCCAACAGCAATATCTGCCCAAATTAGCATCGGGTGTGACTGCTCCCTCTCCTCGCTTCTCTGAGCACCGCGTGCAGGATTCAGGCCAAATCCCGGCCCTCCCACTGCAAGGTGGAGTCTTCTGGGACTCATTCATGCAACAGGGGAAGGACCAGATCTGCTCATGGTGCGGCACAAATTCGTTGATTTCCTGTTTTGTCCTGGGGCCAAGGTTGCCCCAGAGAGGAGAGACAGAGAGGAAGATCTTCCCTCTGATGATTCATTTCCCAAATGGCCGCAATGGCCAAAGCTGCACTGATCCAAAGTCAGGAGCCAGGAGCTTCTTCAGGGTCTCCCACGAGGGTGCAGGGTCCCGAGGTTTTGGGCCGTCCTTGACTGCTTTTCCAGGCCACAAGCAGGGAGCTGGATGGGAAGCAGGGCTGCAGAAATTAGAACTGGCTCCTGTCTTCAAATTGGCTCAGCACCAGCCGTTGCAGTCACATGGGGAGTGAATCATCGGAAGGAAGACTTTCCTCTCTGTCTCTCTTCCTCTATATATCTGACTTTGCAAAAAATAAATAAATCTTAAAAAAAACTTTAAAAAACACACATCTTTTTTTAAAAAAAAAATCATAACAGGGGCTGGCGCCAGGCATATGCATGCCTTGAGCCAGGCTACCACACCAACCCTGGAGTACATTCTTGAATAAAACAGAATTCTTGCCCCTCAGAAGGCAACGGTGACATGGACATGCATTGTAACAGACCAGGCTGGTGTTGGCACTCCCACACCACACATCAAACGCCTGGTTTCGGTCCCAGCTACTCCACACTTCCAATTCAGCTTCCTACTCTAGAATGTGGCAGGTAGCCGAGGATGGCTTCCACCACCACAGGGGCGACCGGATGGAATTCCAGGCTCCTGAGCTCAGCCTGGGCCAGCCCTAGCTGATACAGACATTTGAGGGGTGAACTAATCCATGGAAGATCTCCCTGTATATATCACTCTGCCTTCCAAATAAACACATCTTTTGGGGGTTGGCATGGTAGCCTAGTGGCTGGGGTCCTTGCTTTCATGCGCCGGAATCCTATGTGGGCGCCGGTTTGTATCCCGGCTGCTCTGCTTTCCTTCTTGTGACCTGGAAGAGCCGTCGAGGATGGCTCAAGACTTTGTTTGGGACCCTGCACCCACATAGGAGACCCAGAAGACGCACCAGAGTCCTGGCATCGAACTGGCACAGCTGAGGCGATTGCGGCCACTTGCAGAGTGAACCAGCAGATGGAAGATCTTTGTCTCTTCTTTGTAAACCTGACTTTCCAATAAAAATAAATCTTTTTTGGCCCGGCGCAGTGGCCTAGCAGCTAAAGTCCTTGCCTTGAATGCACTGGCATCCCATCTGGGCACCTGTTCTAATCCTGGCTGCTCCACTTCCCATCCAGCTCCCTGCCTGTGGCCTGGGAAAGCAGTGGAGGACGGCCCAAAGCCTTGGTTCCCTGCACCCGTGTGGGAGACCTGGAAGAGCTCCTGGCTCCTGTCTTCTAATTGGCTCAACACCAGCTGTTGCAGTCACATGGGGAGTGAATCATCGGAAGGAAGACCTTCCTCTCTGTCTCTCTTCCTCTCTCTATATATCTGACTTTGCAAAAAATAAATAAATCTTTTTTAAAAAAGCTTTAAAATACACACATCTTTCTAAAAAATTATAACAGGGGCTGGCGCCATGGCATTACAGGCTAAGCTTCTGCCCATAAGGGTGCTGGTTCAAATCCCGGCTGCTGCACTTTCCATCCAGCTCCCTGCTTGTAACCTAAGGAAGTAGCAGAGAATGGCCCAAGTGCTTGGGCTGCTGCCCCAACATGGGTGACTCAGAAGAGGCTCATGGCTTCAGCCTGGCCCAGCTCCACCATGGTGGCCATCTGAGGAGTGAGCCAGCAGACGGAAGAGCTCTGTATGCCTTTCAAATAAAAATGATCTGAATCTTTTTTTAAAAGGCACGGTCTCCCATGGCCAAAGGTCCTTTACTGATGATTTTGGACAATGGTCAGCGTGGCAAGGAAGGTTCGAGTCCACACGTCATCTTTCTGCCCTGTAGTCCTCGCTGCTTCCCGTCTCTTTCCCCACCCCGGTGGCCGGGATGCACTTCCCTGTGGCGTGGTTCTAGAATTCCGCTTGAACACCATGCGATGTCACATGGGGTGAAGGGGAAAGAAGGGCGTGACTAGGAGAATCCCTCAGAATCCGCGTGATGGTCCCTCAAAACCCCTTTACCTCTTTCTCAGAAGCCATCCTGAAAACCCATCAGGAACCTCAAGTTCCTAAACGGTAGAATTCTCTGGAAACCTGGGAAGGCTTCCTCCCTCGAATTTCCCGCCTTTTGCAGCCACGCCCCTCCTCCAGCCTTTCGGCCTATCAGCAGGCAGCGCCAATCTGCCCAGCGCCCGGTGACGTCGCGGGGGCCTCCGTCAGCGGATTGGCTGCCTCCATGAGGGCGCTGCATTCCTAACTTGAAGTTCCTCAGATTCACTGAAGGCCTCCAAGGGTCCCTGGGGAGGGGAGGGGGGTCGTCCCACCATCGATCAAAGGTCTCCACGCAAAATTCTCCGGAATTTGAAGGTTTATTGCGGGAACAACTGCAATACAGGTCGAATGAGGGGATGCACTGGGCCCGAAGGCCCTCTCGGCCCGTCAGAGGTGAGGGGGCCGCGCTGGCCTCCTCGCTGCGCGGTGGGCGCTGGGGGTCCGTCCTAGGGCGCCGGCCCGGGTCTCGGGGTGCGGGGCTGCAGGCCGCGGCAGCCCCCGGCGCGCTCCTCCTGCTGCAGCCGCCGCAGCGGCCGGGCCCAGCGCGGCCTCCAGGGCAGCGCGAGGCCGTGGCGGTGCAGCACGAGGCGCGCGGGGGCCGGGCCGTCGGCCGCGCCGCCCAGCAGCAGGTAATCGGCGCCGGGGAGCAGGCGCAGGCAGCCGCAGGCCAGGTCGGCCTCGGGCACCCAGGCGTCCTGGCCGCCGGGACGCACGGGCTGCGATGGCCGCTGCTTGTACACGGCCAGCACGCGCACCGCCAGCCGCCGCCACGCCGGGCCCGCCGCCTCGGCCGCCAGCACCTGCGCGCGGAGCACTGCGGAGAGGGGCCCGCGTGAGGCCGGGGGCCTGGACCACTGGGGAAGGTGGCATGGGCAGGTCTGCGGGGCTGCTGGGCGCTGCCAGATGAGGGGTGGTAGCGGGGGAAGCCTTGGTGGGGAGTAGGGACGGGCTCAGCTCCCTGGGGACCCCCGGGGGGCACGGGGGACCCGGGCTGTCCACACTCACCGTAGTCCTGCTGGCAGAACCTGCTGAGGCTCATGTGGACGCTCTTGTCTGGCAGGTGGCAGTAGTTCTGACACTGAGGGTCTGTGGAGGTCATGTGTGGAATGGGGCTTCCCCTCCTGCCCATCCCCACTTGTAGCCGCAGCTGGATGGGCAGCTGGGACCCAGGCAGTCCATCCCCACTTCTCAGGCGGGGCCCAGGCCAGTTCTCTTACCAGAGCTGTGGGCACCGGGCGTGGGGACCAGGGGCGTCGTTGCCTCAGGGACTCCTGGGAGAGCAAAGGATGCTTCATCCAAGCTGGGCCCAGTGACCCTCCTCCCCTTCCACCCAGGGCTGTGGACCCCATACCCTTCTCCTGCTGAGCCCATAGCCCAGGCCCTCGGCTCCTGCTCCCGGAGACTGAAAGAAGCAGGAATTTCTGTCCCTGTGTCCTTACGGACCCCCAGCCCTGCCTCTGGGAACCCTGTACTCCCCCCCTCGATTCAGGGCTTGTGGCCCTGGCCCTGGGGACTCACTCTGGCAGGGCATTCTGGGGGAGCGGCTCTGCTGGTAGCCGGGACCACAGCGATTGCATGTCGCGCCCGTGACGCCCAACTTGCAGGAGCATTGCCCGCTGGTCTGGTTACAGGCGCCTCCTATGGCGCCGATAGGGTGGCACCGGCAGGCTGCACAGGGAGGAGCTGATGGTGTGGAGTGTCTGCCACTCAAGTGCCCCCTCCTAATTCCATGGCCTTCACCTCCCTCACACCGAGGGGTCCAGCCCAGCCCCTCCTCCCTCACACCCAGGGGTCCAGCCCCTCCTCCCTCACACCCAGGGGTCCAGCCCAGCCCCTCCTCCCTCACACCCAGGGGTGCAGCCCCTCCTCCCTCACACCCAGGGGTCCAGCCCAGCCCCTCCTCCCTCACACCCAGGGGTCCAGCCCAGCCCCTCCTCCCTCACACCCAGGGGTCCAGCCCAGCCCCTTTTCCCCCAAGCCCGTCCACACTCACCCTTGCAGGCCTTGCGGCTGGTGATGGGCTGGCTGGGGTCCCTCCAGAAGCCTGGCTGGCAGTAGTGGCAGTGCCGCCCAGCTGTGTGGTGGCGGCAGCGCTCACACACACCCCCACTGCGGCCGCCCGACAGCCTAAACAGCTCGGAGTTGAACCGGCAGCGCCGGGCGTGCTGGTTGCAGGAGCAGGCTGGGACCAGGGTGGGGGAGAGGGGGACATCAAGGCCAGGCCTGCCGCTGCCCAGCCTGCTCCCCAGCCCTCAGGAGAGGAAGAGGCCAGTGAGGACACCACGTCCAGAGACTCCTCAGTAGCCCCTTATCCTAGAACATTCTTGGTTCTCTTCCAGGCCAATGGGCCAGGGCTGGGTCAGCCTGGAGCCTGGTGCTTAGAGGGGAGGGGCCCGGTAGACCCCCACCCCGGCCTCTGATGTGTGCCTGGAATGGGAGATTCCTGTTCCCTGGAGCCCCTCTTCCCTGTCTGCCTCATTGCCTAGTACAGGAGCAGGTGCTGGCCACCACGCCACCGTGCGCCTGCACCTGCCAGATGCTGTGGCCTAGGTGTTTAGAGCATGTCGAGGAGATACTGACGAGGGTGCATGCCTGGCTGCTCTTTCAAGGGACCAGGGTGAAGGGGTGCTGGAGAGGCCTCCAACTGCCAATCCCTGGAACCCCAAGAAAAAAAGGGCTCCCATCTCGGCCTGTTTGCTGCAGGCCTCAGAAGTGGCAGGGTGCCTCAGGTCATCCCTGGGGGTGGTGAGCCTATATCCCTCCCCGTCCCTGGGCATGCAGAGGAGTGAAGCGTCGGGCCCTGCGTGCGTGCAGCGTAGCTCCGCCCAGAGCCACCAGCACAACGCTGCAATGCCCAGCCCCACCCCGGCGGTGCCTGATGCCCCCCCAAGAGGGGTGGGCTCCCCAGCCCCTAAGCCTGTGCAGGTCAGCCATAGAAGCCCCCAGCCCCTCGGGCCGCGTGAGTCTCTCACTGCCCTGGAGGAGGCAGCGGGTGCCCTGTGTGAGTGAGGAGGGGCAGAGGGCCGGGAGAGGGATGCCTCCAGGGACATCCTGGTGGGATGAGAGCAGGGTGGGGCGGGGAGGGCACTGATGTACTTCAGTCCGGAGTAGAGGGGGCAGGAGAACCCGTGTTGCCATGTTTGTGCGTCAGCGTGTGTACACGCCTGTACTTGGGTATGTGTCATTGTGTACACACAGTGTGTGTGTGCTTGCATGTCATCACACACACGTATCTTACCCACTCCCAGCCTTCTGGGAGGGCCGCGGCCAGGCTAGGGCTCCCAGGGCCTGTGTCTGAGGAGCCGCCTTGAGCCTGTGGACACTGACATGTGCCCCGAGCCGCCTCTTCCTCGCCTGGGAACAGTGACGGCGGCGTGGGAACCCTCTCCTTTCTGCCAGACCCTGGGCTGGGCTGCAGTCTGAGGGCTCCGCTTTTGTTAGCTTGCTGGGTTTGCGCTGTAGCTGCTGATGGCTAAAGGAGGCGCTACAGTCAGCCTTGCTTTGCAGGGGCCACAGAGCTTAGCAAGCAGAGGAGCAGTTAGGGGGAGGGAAGAGACCTCCTTGAGCCCCCCGCCTCCCATCATGGGGACCTGGTGCCCAGGGTGCTGAGGAGCGGGATGGGCCCAGACCCAGGACTCACGCAGGCAGGGGTGCGGATGTCGGGGTGTGGCAGGCCGCCAGGGCCAGTCGCGGTGGGACGGGCGACAGCTCTCACAGCCGGGGCCGGTGGTGTGGTGGCGACAGCGGCAGCGCGGGGGCTGGGCCCTGGCGGCGCAGCGCGCAGCGTGACCGTGACACTGGCAGCGGCCTCTCACCCCGGCTGCTGCCAGACCTGTCCAGCCTCCGACCTCCACGCGAAGGTGACTGGCCACCACCCTGGACTTAGGACCCGGTGAGGGGCGGAAGGTCACTCTTTCCGGGCCTCCTAAGGCACCAGACCAGGCAGGCCTGCGCCACAGCAGCTTCCAGGGACCCCCGGCGGCCCAGGCGCTGGACAAGACCAGAGCCGGGGGGCCTGGGGTGCAGAAGCGCAGACTGACGGACGTCAAAAGGAAGGTCCCCCCCAGCGCCAGGATCAGGCTATCATTGCAGAGGGCCCTGGGGCTGGTCCCTTGGGAGAGCACACAGGCCTGGGGGCAGGAGGCCGGCGGACCACTGGCCAGCTGGGTCACCGGTGGGAGGCAGAAGCGGGGGCGGCCCCCTGGGTCGTAGCATGGGTCCCCCGTGGCCTGGCCCAGGAGGAGCCAGAGGACCAAGACCACAGCCATGGCCACAGCAGCGCCCGCACCTGTAGAGCAGAGGTGGCCATGCTGGGGAGCTCTGGGGAGAGCCCTCACTTGCCAGCCCTGGAACCCGGTCCCGCCCCAAGCCCCCCTCACCGCCGCCGGCTCCAAAGCGAGGAAAATAGTTCCATCTGGGGAGAATTACTGTTTACATAACCCGGAGGGGAAAGAACGCAAGCAAAATTGAGAATTTCGCCTGAACTAATCTGCAGCTTAGCACCCAGAGATGCCCATCAGTGCCGGGGCTGGGGCCCTAGGGAGAGGACGCAGGGTGGAGTGGGAGACCTAGGAAGGGACACACAGTCCTGTTGGAGATGTGTGGAACCCGGAGTGAGGGACCACAGCCTGCCTTGGAAGAGGAGGCCCGGGAGCCTTGGACAGTGACGGCAGGCAGGTGGGCTGAGGTGGCAGGCAGCCCCAGGCCCCCGGAGGGGAGAGGCAGGCCTGGCGGTCCCAGGTCCCTGGTGGGCGGCTGCTGCGGGGGGATCAGAGGCAAGGGGCTGAAGCCCTGGCCCTTTCCCACGTGGGGCCCTAACCTTGTTCTCCACACCCCAAGCACGGAAGGGGATTATCACCAGCAGCCCTGCCCCTTCCCTCCCTACCACCCACCCCCAGCCTGCCACCCTTAACCCTTTCCCACCCACATTCAAGGCCACAGCAAAGCTAGTCCCCCCCACCCGCCAGCAGTGAAGCAGCAGCCAGCAGGACCCCCTGCCTACACACACCGAGCCGGGGGGTCCACAGCAGGGTGGGCAGCAGATGCTGGGGTTCTGTGCAGAGCTGTGTGTGGTGGGGTTGTCAGGACCCTGAGGTGAGGTTTTTGGGGCTTCCTCATCATTTGACCCCCATCTGCTGCCCCAAACTGGCCCTTAGGGACCCCACGTTCTCACCAGACCTGGGATCCCGAGCAGATGGCAGAACAGATGTGGAGGGTGGTGGGGGTGAGGGAGGCAGGGGCCGGGGTGGGTGCCAGATGCCACAGCCTTGGGGGAGGCAGGCCCACCATGTGCCCCTCCCAGCCGACAGCCCCCCGTAAGGCACTCAAGAGGACTGGGGACCCCAGGGTAGGGGGAGCCCTTTGTCCATCCCCTCCCCAGGCCCTGATCTCCCCCTAGGCTGAGCTGGGGTGTGTGGGGCACAGTCTGCAGGCAGATGCAGCCGGAGCATGCGTGGCCCTCTGCCTCCCCCCACGAGCCTGGCGCCATTTTGCGTTCAGGCAGCGGGCATTCGCTGAGGCCTCCGCCTCATTAAGGGCCCTCTACTGCCCGCCCCTGTTGCCATGTCCCCTCCCCACCCCGCCACCATGTCCCCATTCCCCTTGCTAGGAAGTCTGGCGGGTGCCACTCCTCTGCCCTCAGCTTCCCGAGGAATTAGGCTGTGAGCCCCACAGGGCTTAGGGGGACCCAAAAACCATCTCCTGCCCACTGAGAAGCCCCACCTGACCCTGAGCCCCTACCCTCTCTAGGCCCACCCCTCTGGGAGGGGAAGGCCCTACTCCTAGGGGACCCACCTCGTCAGGGCTCTGGCCAGGCAGTGGGGTTGCCTCCTTGGCCTGCACCCCGCCTCCCCACCTCCGCACCCCAGCCTTTAGTTCACTCGCTGCCCCCCCTCCCAGCGTTGACCAGACCTGCACCCGGGAGAGCAAGCGTGTCCTGCCGCCGGATCCCAGGAGCTCTGGTGGGCTCTCGGGAGGGAGTGGCGAGTGGCTGCTCTCAGGCCCCAGGCTAGTGGGGGTTCTGGGCGGGAGCTCAGAATCCAACACCACCCCCCCCTCCTCAAACCCCTCCCCAGCCGTACTCCCGCCCGCTCTCCCCACAGGGACCCCTGCCAGCCACACCACCGGAGACCCCGTGGGACATGAGCACAGCAAGCTGGCCTAAGAGGCTGCGGGCAGGTAAGAGGGGATGGGCCAGACCAGGGAGTGGGGCAGGCATGGGGCTGGCTGGCCGCTCATGCTGGCCCAGGCGCTGACCAAGAGGGGGCTGACCTTTGGCTGGGATGGGGGCCTCTGCTTGACTCAACTCCTCCCCTCCCCCACCCTGGCATCTGCTGTCCACGTGGGTTGGGATTGGTCAACTTTCAAGGCGTGGAAGGGTCGGACCAGTGGGGACCCCTCTGAAGCCCAAGGGTGATGGAGGGGCCGGAGGAGGTGCGGCAGGAATCCAGCGTGGGCCTCCTTTGCAGCCACGTCCTCCAGGAACCTTGCTGTCTTCGGCTCTCATTGGCAGAGTCCCTGGTGGCTTAACTGGAAAAAGGGCCCCTTTCCCTGTGTGCTCCGCTGAGGACAGCAGAGCCTCTGGGCGCCTGGTGGCTACTGGGGTCTGACCTCGGAGTCCCTAGCACTGACTCTGCTTAGATCTGGCGGGGAGCCCAGGACCCCCAGGGAGTCAAAATCCGGCAGGAGCAGGGGTGAAGAGATCGGGTTTGGAAGACACGGTTCTAAAAATTGTGAGAGAAAGGGATGGGGGCAGCGTGGGGTATGTGGGGATCCCCAGCCTTAGCGAGTGTCCCCTACAGGAAGTTGGGGAATGGTTGATTTAAGTAGCAACAAGGCAGAATGTCTGGGCTTCTGAAGGTTGGCAAAGCTGTGGGTTTACTGCCCACTGCCCACTGCCCACTCTGGGCTCCTGTGCTGGGGCGGGGATTGTGAGGGTGGAAATGGTTGCCCAAGTCGGAGCTGGGGCTCTTGGCTCCCACAGTGCCCAGGGGGAGGCCAGGCCAGCCAGGGAGCCGGCTGAGGGTCTTGGCTGTGGGCTGCCAGGCAGACACCCTGAGACACCCCAGGGCCACGACTGGCTCCTACCCCACACCATCTCCCCCTCTCTCTCCTAGCAAGTGGTTTGAGCCTCGTCCGTTAACGGGGCCTTCCTGGGGGAGGTGGTGTGTGGAGCTGGAGTCTGGCCAGTCTCTCTGCGTGACTCACAGGTTGGAGTCGGTCACGCCTTCTGCCGGGAGGCGGCTAATAAGGAATTGTGGAGCAGGATATAAGGCCCAAGGTCAATGCTGTGGGTGGAGGAGAGGTTGGCATTGAAAATGGTTTAATTTTTTCTAAAGATTTATTTCATTTTTATTGGAACGGCAGATATATAGAGAGGAGAGACAGAGAGAAAGCTCTTCTAACCACTGGGTCACTCCCCAAGTGGGTACAATGGCTGAAGCTGAGCTGATCTGAAGCCAGGAGCCAGGAGCTTCTTCCAGTCTCCTACGCATGTGCAGGATTCCAAAGCTTTGGGCAATCCCTGCTACTTTCCCAGGCCACTGGGAAACTGGAACTGGAAGGGAAGTGGAACAGCTAGAATAGAACTATGCAAGGCAAGGACTTTAACCACTAAGCTACTGCACCAGACCCCAATTTGTTTTTAAAAACTTTTTTTTTGTTTGTTTTTTAAATCAAAAAGGCAGTTTTACAGACACAGTAGAGAAAGATCTTCCATTCACTGGCTCACTCCTCAAATGGCTGCAACAGCTGGAGCTGAACCAATCAGAGGCCAGGAGCCAGGACCTTCTTCCAGTCTCCCATGCGGATGCAGGGTCCCAAGGCTTTGGCCCATCCTCTATTGCTTTCCCAGGCCACAGGCAGGGAGCTGGATGGGAAGTGGAGCAGCCGGGACATGAACTGGTGCCCATCTTGGATCCTGGTAGTTGCAGGTGGAGGATTAACCAGTTGAGCCATCACACCACACCGGCTTTCAGAATTCAAAGATAACCTGGAGGGCCCAGCATGGCAGCCAAGTGCTAAATCCACAGCAGATGGAAGAAGTTTCTCTCTGTAAATCTGCCTTTCCAATAATAATAATAATAAATACATCTTTAAGAAAAAAAAAAAGATGACTTGGAGATGGCACCAGTAGAACAAATGAAACGAGTTGGGTGCTCCTCCTATGGGCTGCCCTGCCCTGGCGCCGGGACCCCAGGGGTCCTGGCCTGGGAGGCAGCTCTGCTCCTCCACATGGCAGGACCCCAAGGTGGCCAGGCCGCCTGGCAGCTCTCCCGGGCTGTGAGAGGAGTTGCTCGGCCAGATGTCAGTCACTGTTCTGGGCATGGAACAGTGACCACGGTGGCATTTGTCGTGCACTGCGGTGAGGGGAGGGGTGCTGTGTCCCCGTCTGTCCTGCTGTCCTTGGAGGGGGACCAGGTGGAGAGCAAGGTGTTCAAGCAGATCCTAAAAGTGCCGAACCCTGCAATGTGGAAGGACGAGAGCTGGTTGAGGGGTCATGGGAGGGAGGGATGGGGAGCAGTCAGGGGTGTGGCACATCCCAAAAGGGGGGACAGGAGACCCAGAGCAGAGACAGCCCTGGGGTCTGGGTGGCCGGCACCCCCTCAGGGAGGGTCTCCCTCCTGCCGACAGCCGGCTGGAGCCCGTTCGCATCAGGCGTGAGTCATGGGGACAAGGGGTCCTAGACCTCCAAGGCCACGAGGGCCACCTGACCCCGTTCCCATGGAGCCAGGCGGGCCCAGCAGCTCTGCACCTGGCAACACCCAAAGGCACTGAAAAATCCGTCTACACAGACATTGTGCACAGCAGTAGGGTCAGGACCCACGCCCCCGGGGAGGGAGACCACAGCCCCCCCCACACTTACTAGGTAGCTGGTGGAGTGGGGGAGAGAGAGCTAGTGGGCCACAGCAAGACTCACTCCTGTCGCTCTCCTTCGTCCTCCTGACAGCCACCTGCCCCTCCGTCTCCACCATCTACTTCCTCTTCGCCATCTTCGTGGTGTCCACTGTCTTTCACTGCCACCGGCGCTTGGCTCTGGTGCCCGACCCCTGGGCCCACTCCGCCCCGGTTGTGGTGGTCCCCAGACACCTTCCCCCAGGAGGCATGTGGACCGTCAATTCCAAAGGCCGTCTGGGGAACCAGATGGGCGAATATGCCACGCTCTACGCCCTGGCCAAGATGAACGGGAGGCCCGCCTACATCCCCGCACAGATGCACAACACGCTGGCCCCCATCTTCCGCATCAGCCTCCCGGTCCTGCACAGCAGCA